ATTGAATCTGACAATTTCCTTCCCTTCCTTGATATTCTTATAATTCGCAATGAATCTGATTCCAACACTACTGTTTACTGTAAACCTTTTTCTTTTTGTTTACCACCCTATGCTAAGTCATGCCACATGGCTAACAAAAAAGCGTTTATCTATTATATATTTTGCATTCTCAAAATTTGTTCCTTAGAACCTCTGCTTGCTATTAAACTAAATTATTTGAAATCAGTTGCCATTGACCAAGGATTTTCTCCTGTGGTCATTGATAAATCATTTGAAAACTTTTCTGCTTGTCATCAAAGAAGACATTCATTCTGCTATTAGAAATAACATTAATAACTTTGTCGTGCTTCCATTGCATCCTTCTGTCAGTTATGAAATTGCACAGATTCTTCAGAAGTTGAATTTTCAGGTCATTTTCTCTCTCACCTATCAATGAAATCCATGGTTTGACTGTTAACGATTCCATTTCTAATTTTAATTCGTGGGAAATTTATAGCATATCGAGTCAGTGTGGTTTGAGATACATCGGCCAAAATAAAAGATACTGCACTTTTATTTGTTTTGTATCAAGGAATGCAAATCTCGTGTCTGAAAAGACAAAATTAACAAAGCTTCGTTAGCTAATTGTTGGAAATCTAATCATAATTTTGACTTTGAGGTCTGCAAAAATCATTAAAAAATCTTCATCTGTTGGTGAATTGGATTTTCTTGAAGCCTTTCATATTTACAAACATTTATCTTGTTCATTTAATGACTTTAAGTCCAACCCAGTCCCAACCTTGAAGCTTTTAAGATTCTGTTAAATTATTTTTTCAATTTTGTTAGTATTTTTGCCAGTAGATGGAACCATTTCAATGTATTTTAATTATAATAGTTCACCCGAAAATTCTGGCTTCTCCCCAAAGCAAGGGAAAAAAGTAAATTCTAATTAGAATCTTGTACCCTAAATAAAGAGAATTCTAGTTAAAGAATTGTAAGTGAAATAATAAAATACTTCAGTGAAAAATCCAAATCAAAAATTTACCTTTTAACAAATAGCATGTAATCCAAAGAATTTAAAATGTAAGTGAAATTATAAAACTTTAGTGAAAAGTCTTAATTATTAATTTAGTGAAATGTCTTAATTTAAATTCTTTGGATTATATGCTATTTGTTTAAAGGTAAAATTTGGATTTGAATTTTTCACTGAAGTATTTTATTATTTCACTCACATTTTCATTCTTTAACTAGAAATCTCTTTATTTAAGATACAACATTCTATTTAGAATTTACTATTTTCTTGCTTTGGGGAGGGGGACAGAGTTTTTGGGTGAACGTTATAATTAAAGTATTTACATTGAAATGGTTCATTGGCTAATTCTGGATACAGAAAAGCAAGTATTTTTGTGGAAGAGAGAGTTCAATTGATTTCAGTGTTCCTTCTCCTGACGAAGTGGCATTGAAGTTGATTGAATTGCTCTTCTATTATATTAATTTTTCTTTAAATTTCTTTAATTTTTTAATTGGGGTGTTACTTGTTTGAAAATATTTGGTTTTAACATTTTTTAAAATTCTTTATTGCATTTATAGGATTTTTTTAAAATTTATTAATTTTGAATTTCAAGTTTTGGTCTTTGTGAAAAATTAGTTCTTAATTTCTTACTTTATGTCTTTACTGATAATTTTTCAGCATCTTAATGCGCAAAAATACTTGGCATGTTTACACTAATTATTACACTAATTAAGTTTTTAATTATATATTTCGTAAATGTCAGGATTTCGGAAATTCTGGATTTCAGATGGTACCAGATTTTAGATCATCATCTAGTAAAATGCTAAGCCATGGGCATAGCTAAGGGGGTGCATGGAAGTGCATTTGCACTCCCCTATATGAATGAAACTTTTTTAAAAAATTTCAACTAATAAGTTAGTGAAAATTTTCTCTGTTTCTTATATTACTCTTTAAAGTCCAACCAGGGTTTTATATATATATATATATATATATATTATCCTGTTCTGTTTCTTATATTATTCTTTAAGGTTGCAGCCATTATATGGGAAGATGGGTATGGTGTTCGTCATCAATGGTCACACATCTAAAGATGGAAATATTAAAATGTTGTTGGACACCTAATGAAAAATATGATTTTGCAGCAGATGCTATCCATTTGAGAAGAAAGTTTAGACATGAGTGGCTAAAAACTAATGCTTCTTGGCTCGCATATTCAAAAAGTGTAAAAGGAGCATTATGCTTGTACTGTGTTCTTCTCCCTCCTGCTTCTACATCATTGAAAAGGGTTTTGGGCTCCTTCATTATTAAGCCATTCACATGTTGTCATGTCATACATGAAGCTTTTAAAATCACTTCACAAATCAGTGGCACAAAGCATCAGTAATCGCTGTCAAGAATTTTCTAGAAAATGAACTTGTAAATATTAAACTAGTTTCTGGGCACAAAAACGTAATGCAAGAAAATTAAAATGCAATCGTGTCAATAATTTCCACAATCATATTTTATGGAACCCATGACTTTTGTCTAAGGGGTAAGTTGAAACAGGAAGGGAATTATCAGGACCTGATTCATCTAATAATAGAAGCAAGATATAAAAATTTGCAAAGACATTTCGAAAAAGGTAGTAAAAATGCAACTTTTATGTCACCTCCGATCCAAAATGAATTGATCAGTTTGTGTTAATTGGTGGTGAAAGACACTATAGTGTGAGATGCAGGAAAAGCTTCTGCTTACAGCATAATGGCAGACAAAACAAGCAATATATCTGGGAAGGAGCAATTGTCAATGGTATTCGATTTTTTGATACAGAAAGGTTGGCTGTCCGGAAAGAATTCCTAGGATATATTGAACTAAATACAGTGGATGCTCATACTGTAGCAAATGAATTAAACATTTTTCTGAAAAGGGAAGATTTTGATCCAAATGAATGTGCTGGACAGGGTTATGATGGATGTTGAACTATGGTAGGGAATACTAGTGGCATGCAGAAGATCTGGCAACAGAATTATAAAAAAGCCTTGTTTTTTCATTGTGCCAGTTACAAACTAAATTTAGTTGTGAATGATTTGAACTGCGTATCAGAAATCATTGCTACTATAAAGGATGTGATAAACCATTTTCTTGAACCTGTTCTATGAAGAAGATATATAGTAAATATTCCAGACTTATGTGATACATGCTGGTTCCAGAAATACAGAAGTATTAGTATATTTAAAGAGCATTTTATAAACATAATGCAGGGACTGGAAAAGTTATCAAAAGAAGGTAATGCACCTACCAGGAAAACTGCTTTCCAATTACATTGTGTTTCAACAAAACCTGAATTTATTGTGTGCGAAGGACTAATTGCAAAATATTCGGCTCTGCTAGAAACTGTGGCTAATATTTTACAGTCCAAAAATTTGAATATGCTACAATGTGTAGACCACATAAACAGAATTTAATGCTTGTAAAAGAACATCGTTGAGCAACAGATGTTTTATGCCAGGAAATTATGTCTTTTGTAAGTGCTATGGCTGAGAGCATGGGCACTGAATTACAAGCGCAGAGAATTGTAATTCCTTAATATAGTCACTGTAAGAAAGATTTTCCAGCAATAATTTACCAGCATTTCCTTTGGTAGTTATTAGATCCTGTGGCTATGCTAAAGATGCCAGAGGAAGAAATTGCCAAAAAAGTGGTGTGCTTTCATGATTTTTATAATCAGAAAAATTTTAACAGTGAGAGATAACTCTGGTATAATTTCTGGAAAACGAAGAAACTAGAAATCAACAACATGAAGGAGTTAACTATGAAAGATTTGGTAAAAGAAGCAACAATTTTTTCCCCAGAAATGAAATGTGCTCTTCTTATATCTTTGTCTCAACCATGTACAGCGTGTACTGCTGAGCACTCATTTAATACCCTGCACTACGATGGCAGAGAATCGCTTAATTAAGTATGCATCGAAAACCTGTTCAAGAAACAAAAACAGAAACAGAAAAAGAAGTTTTAGAATGATTTAGTTCAGATAGCAATAAAATTGTTGTAATATAAATTAAAGACCAAGTAAAAATGTTCAGAATTCTCTTTATTCCTATCTCCCATGTTGAGACGATCTGTTTAAACTCATGTATTCCAATTCCGTTATTAATTTACTCCTTTATTCAATTGCAGCAAAGCATGTGAGTAGTATCGTATTCAATTTATAATATGTGAGGGAAAAGACCCCACAAAAACAGTCATGTAGCCAACCAGTTAATTTGCTTTCAAATCGAATTACTGGTACTCAGTGATTTTATCTACTCTACCACTGATGAATTCGTGTCATGTCAGAGTTTCATTTTCTCGGACTAAAATCGTTTGCACCCCCTAGCTCTGATCCTGGCTACGCCCATGTGCTGAGCAATGGTGGGCCTTCACTTATTGTATAGGTCAGATAGGAAAATGCTAACCCCCCACCACAACCACTCAAGAGTCAAAAGTGTGACCATCAACACTGGCCACAGGATCATTTCGATAGCCAGAAATATATTTGAATGCGATGTGCAGGAATGTCAATCATTTGGGAGAAAAACTGCATTTACGGCACACCTGCTTCCTTTTGTTGAACATTATATACTCCATTCCTGTACTTTGTAAAGGGAGGGGGAACTTTTTTTAAAATCTTATTTTGATTTATTTATATATTTATTTTATGTAGAAGCCCAGGTATTAGATCATTTTGGATTTCGGACTTTGTACTGTACTTGGATATGGTTTTTATTTGGTACACTAGTTAATCTTGCATGCTAATTGACATAGAACAATCATTATAAAACTTCCCATTATCTGAAAATTACATGAAGTTAATTAGATTGTGTACTAGTTATAATGCTTAAAATGTTTTGCATTTGTTTGATCTTGCTTAAAAATAGCATTTAATGGTTAGATTAACTGTTTCGTTCTACATAAGTTTCATAAGTATGTTTTAATTAAGAATTTAATATGTTGATGTGACATTTAGATTGAAGTGCATAAAATCTTTTAGGACTGCTTTTAAACTTGGGCCATTGCCTGCCATCATTGGAAAAAAGAAGAGGAAGCAAATACCGTTACGTCATTGACTGTCATTTCCTTTATTAATACTGCCAAGTTGGTTATTGTATTCTTTTACATTAATTTTGGATAATAAAATTACTAAAATTTTCTAGATTTATTGTCTGTATATTTCCTTTAGAAAGTGAAATCTGAATAAAACTCAGTTTTCTGTATTTACTGAATTTTTAATATTTAATTTATGAATGTCGTTTAATATGCTTATTTGCATTTATTAATTAACTGAGCACATTAATTTCATTATTTGTGTAAAGATGAGTTTTTTATGATTTTCTGTTGAAGAACTTACACTGCTGGCCATTAAAATCCCTATTGTCATGAAGGTGGCATGCAGCAAACTTCAAATTTGCAGGAAAAGTGCAACATGTGGAGATATGCAAATGATTAGCATTCCAGTGCAGCATGCACATGAAACATGTGTAGTAATGCCATCTACATTGTGAATAAATGGGAAGCTTGCATAGCTGGTTTCTCATTTGGAAACAGTATTTAAACACTGCTTGTTTATGTAAAGATCATGTTATGCCATGTTTCAGAGAAACTCATACGAACACATTTCAGAATCATTCACAGCAGGATCTTGGCCTTTTGGGACTGTGGTTTTGCCACATGATGCCATCTTCCAACAAGGCAGTGCATGACCACATGTTGCGCACATTGTCCTGACCTTCCTGGATACAGAGTATGTTCAACTGTTGCCTTGACCAGCATATTCTCCAGTTTTTTTACCCATTGAATACATCTGGCCATGAGTTACCGAGAGACTAGTGGGCCATCAACTAGCCAGCCAATTTGATTGCTGAAATTCTGGCACAAAATTGAAGCTGCATGAAATGAAGTAACTGTATCCATTATCCAAGCTTGGTTCTACTTTCTGCCCAACCAGATTACAGCCATTATTGCTGCCATCTTTGTTTACTGAATTCTGCACACTATATCCCAAACCATGTGCAAATTTAATCTCTTCCTCCTATATATTATATATGCACAATAAATAAAACTCTGATATTTTCTTTGCTTCCTGGTGTAGCAATTTTAATGACCAGCAGTGTATATTATTTTTAATTGCATGTTAGTTGACAAATAAAATTACTTTTAACCATATAATTCACTCATTTAAGTATTAATTATCAGTCTTCACTATCTATTCTTGATTTGGCAATAGAGATTTTCAAGAATATATTCAGATTTTTTTTTAAAATCATTTATCTTCTCCCCTCCCCCCAATATACTGATCATGCAGTAGGAACCCAATATACTGATCATGCAGTAGGAACATAAGTATCAGAATATATCTTTGCAACAAGATTTTAATCTTTAAGAGGAAGAATTACAATTAAAATCACTCTCTAAAAGAAAAGCAAATTCTTTAGCTGAGTGCTTTTCGTGATTTGAGCAAAAGGAAATTGAAAGAATAATTAAGACCACAATGGTCAGCAATAGGAAATTTATTAATTTATTCTTTATAGCAATGTTTTTTAATCATATTTCTGAATAGAAAATCCAAAGCTGTCATTTATATTAAAATAAGGCCAATGGATTGTATTGCAAATTGCAAACTTTAAACCCTCCCCCCCCCTTAAAAAAGCGTAAAAAAATGAGTCATTCAATTATAATGAAATTTCATACGTGAATATCTTTTGATCTAACATGCAAATGATTTAGTTCTGGGAACCAATGAATGAATAACTGGAGCTACAGAGCATAACTTTCATTCAAATTTAATTTCACCAACTCACGTTAACAGTACCAGTGACTTGCAGAAAGTCTCAAAGAAGTAAGGCAGTCAAGTTGAAGGATCGCTCAACATTTGGATTGGAGCTATGCATCATTCACCATGTGTAGAAATGCTTGAACCATAAGTAAGCTCAGTGTCACAAAGACATTAGTTGATATAGTGTTACTTTGGTTTTCTTAATTATGAACAAACCATTCTATTGCTATCTGCCTAAGGGGAGAAGCATGCCTTCATGGAGAACTTTCTATGAGAAACTGGCTTGTATACACATTAGACATGGGGAAAACCACAAAAACACCCATGCAACCAGCTTGTTCATGGATTCAAACCCCAGACTGAACTACCAGTGGTTAGCGACTTCAGTGGCTGGTGGGCTCAATTTATATAGGGAGAGAGTAGCTGTCACAGAATTTATTTCCTCAATATCAGTGATTAGGATAGTAATTAGCATTTGCAAGAACCTTCGCTAGGTGACTCAGAGAATAGATCCATGATCATTGCACCAACTACCGCTCACCTCTGCATACCAACAAGAGCATTTACAATGGTGGAACTCGTTCAACCAGATACAGTGGCTCCCAAAAGTGTTCCTACACGTATGATTTTCATTGAAATAGGGCTCTATCCATTAATTAAAATTAAACTTTCTGAATGAGATTTTAATAATAAGATCTATAATCTATTCATAACAAAATTACATGAAATATTTTTTAAATATAGCAAAACTTTATTTTTAAGAAATTAATAATCAAAAAAATGACAAACATTTTATATCACAAAAGCCTTCGTACACTGAAATATTTTTGGATAAAATCAAAATTAGAATTATCATTTGCCGCTTTTTTTAATTTTTGCATTGTGGTGGCATTTTAAAAATCATTTGCTTTAATTTTTTATTTTTTACTCATAATATTCTATTATTATTGAAAAATGGGTCGCAGTCATAAAGAAATTACAAACAGCATTCGAAAATTGATAATTTTTCACCATAGTAGTGGTAAATCAATTCGAAATATAGCTAAATTAGTTAATTTATTCTACAGTGCAGTATGTGATAAAACGTTTTAAAGAAGAAAATCAGATTGAAAACAAGGTAAGAAAAGTTGACGAGAGAAAGAAAGTTAACTAAAACGTGTGATGAGAGATTTATTATTAGAAAATTTGTGAAAAACCCACGTTTGAGTGCTGTAAAAGTTTCTGCAGAGTTTAATGCAAAGTTTTCTACTTCAATTTCACCTGAAATTGTTCAACGAGTTCTCAGAGAAGCTGGATTACATGGGCATTCTGCCCATAAAAAAAATTTTTGTTAGTGAGAAAAACAGAAAGCTTAGGCTTCATTCACAAAATCAATGATAAATACACCCGAAATGTACTGGAATAATGTCCTATTTGCTGACGAAAGCAAATTTAATATTTTTGGTTCTGATGGTCAAATAACTGTATGGAGAAGAAAAAATGAGGAACTTCATTCTAAGAACTTAGTTGGAACAGTTAAGCATGGCGGTGGAGGTGTTCTTGTGTGTAGGTGCATGGCAACATCAGGACTAGGTAATTTGGTATTTATTGATGGCATAATGAATCATTCTCTTTATTTAAATATTTTAAGAGGCAATTTAAAATTATCAGCCCAAAATTCGGGTATTGGAAACAACTTTATTTTTAATCATGATAACAATACTAAGCATACGGCTCTCAACGTTCGCCTATGGTGTCTCTATAATTGTCCACAGGTTTTGAAAATGCCACCTCAGTCGCCAGATTTAAACCCCATAGAACACATTTGGAAAGAACTGGAGGTTAGAGTACGAAAACATGACATAAAACGAAAAGCGAACTCAAAACAATCATGATGGAAGAATGGATGAACATTGATACAGAAATTACAAAAAAGAAAAAAAAAAAAAAAAAACTAGTAAAATCTGTTCCCAGACATTTAAAAGCTGTTGCATATGCTAAAGGATATCCTACTAAATATTAATTTAATGAAAAATGAAAATATTTACTAATATGTCAAGATTTTCTGAAGTGTACAAAGACTTTTGTGAGATAAAATTTTAAAAATATTTCATGTAATTTTGTTACGAATAGATTATAGATCTTACTATTAAAATCTCATTCAGAAAGTTTACATTTAATTAATGAATAGAGCCTTATTTCAATGAAAATCATAAGTGTATGAACACTTTTGGGAGCCATTGTGCCTCACTTACTGGAGTAGAAATGTTTTCACTGATGAATCTAGCTTTGTATTGAAACATGATAACTAACAAAGATTTACGTGAAGACGTTCAGGAGAAATGATGGGATACTGATCTGACTGTCACCAATCACACAGATAATTTAATGAAATGACACTCCAAACTGTAGGGAAGTACAATTTCATTAAATAATCGATTCCCTTTGGTTGTCATCTGTGACACATTTATAGCACGTTGACAATGTTCTACACCTCATTGGTTGCTCCTTCTTTTGAGGAATTCTGACCTTATATTTCAATGGGATAGTGTCCAGCAACATATACTTATTGTCTTCATGTTTATCAAACACTTCTTTAGCTGGAGCGTATTTGGGTTCTGATGAGCAGGTGTTTTCAACCATCCCAGGATATTACGAATCTTGACTTGTTAATTTGAAATAGTTTGGCAATTCTTTGTAGGAGGTCATCTGGTACTTATAAGTCAGTGTCAAGCTTGAACAGTTTGCATGAAGTCTAATGTTTTACTGAATTATAGATTATATGTAGTTGTATCTCCTGAATAAAATATTGAATTTCTCAGAGATTTTTTCCCCATACATATACTTAAATCTAATGAATGCCATCCCATTTTGATAACTTCTTCTTGGTGCATCTTTTCTATGTCTTAAATGTCCCTGTTGAGCAGCAACCCACATACAGCTATCTCTTGAATTTTAGAAAAGCCTTTTACAGAAAATTTGTTGTAATATTTTACCTAATAATATGTATATGTGTTTGTTAACGTAGGTTTGAGTTCCTCTCCCAAACTATAGCTTTCAGTCCAAAAGAGTTTAAATCTTCTCATGCATACAAAGCCATGAAAGTTCTCAACGTTATCTGTATGTATGAGAAAAAGATATCTCTTTGTACATTTTTAAAATTCTTTATTATAATATCTTTAATATACTCTGGAAATGTAGCAAGGAAAGTATCCTTTCCTGATGCTAAACCAGCTTTTGAGATATCAAACATATTTTTTTCTTTTTGATCATCCTGTTTTCTGATTGAGTCTGTTCACAAAATAAGGAATGTATCTCATCGTAAGGCCCTCATGCTTTATATCTGAGAGGGCAGACTGGGAACATTTCTCCTCTCTTGCGGAGCTCAGAGAAGAAGTTGTGAACGATGTGCCAGTCGAGGGTGCAATGAAAGCCATTATTGACATTACAATACAAGCGGCTAACAGCCTCTGTAACTATGACCTCAGCAAAGCCTCCAAAATACTCGAAACCATGGTGGAACCATGAATGCCAGAAAATTCTTGAGAGTGCTGAGAAAAGGACGATTTCGAAGATATCCCACTTCTGACACCGAAAAGTGTTGCATGCATATGGGCTCGTAATGTATTGAATGCACAAGTCAATAAGAAGTTAATAAAATTTATTCTTATCCCAAGAAATAAAAAAAAATGCTGAAAGTTTTTCAGAGATATTCACATAATATCACGGTAGTTATATTTTTAAAGTATTAGAAACGTTTAATAGAAGACAATTCAAAGCTAATCCAATCTCACTGCGAATTCGCTGCAATCAACATTAAGAACTAAGTAAACAACTGAATTCAGATGTTTTATTCTGGCTTTTATAAGCTTTCTAATCTGTCACAAGAAGCTTCTGGCAATTTTTCGAGTTTTCTGGAAAGCAAAAGAGTACAGTTACAAGACATCTACTTATTAAAAGCACGTGCTCCTGTATTTTAATTTTTCTGGCGTAGCTTTCTCTTCAGATAAATCTCTTGCTGCATTGCACGGGGATATAAAACAATTTTAATTAATTCTACTAAAGATAGCTAAATAAGTACAGAAACCATTACAATATGTACCTACTGACAAAAGGAAAAGGAAGAAATTTTATTTGTGTGCTCTTTATAGTAAAGAGATTTGCAATAAGTCAACTTTTGTAACAACCATGATTGTTAACAAGTCAACTTTGGTAACAACCATCACATACCATATATAGTAGATATTACTGACCCTTGCATACTCGGATCAGACTTTCTAAGGAAATATAATTTTTCTCTGGAATTTAAAAATAATGAACATTCCACCTCTCAGCACATAACTGTGTTTGGAATTAAGATGAAGGCGTTAGTCCACCAATCGATAATTCAAGATAATATCACAGTACCAACAAGCAGGGCCGGATTAACCATGCCGGCCCCCCTTTTCTGCCGTTTGAAGATCATCAGGTCTTTTCAAATTGATGACGAGTTGTGAGCAAAATGAGACGTGGGTGTTTTAACTTTATTCTTGTTAAATGCAATAAAATACAATAAACGAAAGAATAGTAAATTAAGTTTAAATACTAAAATTTTAAACTTTTTTAAATACAAAATCGTTCAGAACATCTTGAAAGTTGACCATTTCCAATTGCCATTATCAATGAATTTAAACAGTTCTCAGACGTTGACAAATGAAGACAGTTTTTTATTAGTTTTATTTTTGAAAAGTTACATTCACCCATCGCATTTGATATCGGACTTCTATATATTTGCAATGCTATCATTACATTCAGGAAAGTTGATTGTACCATATTATCAGAAATCAATTTAAATGATTCCTCAGCAGGTACAACTTTATCATTCAACACATCCTCTAATTGTAAGATGAAGTACTTGCAAACGCGCCACGCAATGTAGTGGAAGTTGACCTGTCAGCACTATCCTTATCTTTAGGGCAGATGTTTTTATTTTATTCAGCTTATAATGCCTTACTAAATGTAGAACTATTTCATCTTGATGTATTCCGTCTTTGATATGATTTAAATCAAATTCCTCGTCATTATAAATATCATGAGTACACATCAAATAGTTTTCTGGTTGCAATTTTCTAATTTCGACTATGCGTAATGTATGCTTTACGCATGCGCGCGTTGAAAGAAATGCTTAATAAAGTAAACAAATAAATATTAAGCTTTTTTTTGTCAATTTTGATACCCTTTAGATCATAATTGCTCTTTATTTCATAAATTACGGTTTCATATTTTTAATTTCATAATTTCTGCATGCCATCTTACCTTTAAACTGATGATCTATAATCTGGAATCGCCGAAGTCCCGATGAGTCCGGATTAAAGACTTTTGACTGTATAATTACTGATTTTAGTCTGTATTTTCATAAACTTACATTGACTAAGATGATATTTATATTATTAAAGAAAGTAAGAAAACAAAATATCTTTAATTATAAGCAAATATATGCCAAGTTACAAAACTTCTGCTGACTGGATAAAGCTGGTCATAACGTTCAGAGGGTTAAACTGCAGTCGCGGAAACGGAATATTTCACGGACAAGGGAAAGCAATTTATGCGTTCCTCCCTCTGTTCAGATCAAGATACATCTAGAATCACTATTCAGACTACAGTCAAAAGTCGTCAATCCGGACTCGTCGGGACTTCGGCGATTCCGGATTATAGATCATCAGTTTAAATCTGGTAAGATGGCATGCAGAAATTATAAAATTAAAAATATGAAACCGTAATTTATGAAATAAAGAACAATTATGATCTAAAGGGTATCAAAATTTACCAAAAAAAAAAAAAAAAAAAAAAAAAAAAAAAAAAAAAAACCAAAAAAAAAAAAAAAAAAAGCTCAATATTTATTTGTTTACTTCATTAAACATTTCTTTCAATTTAAGTTGTTTAAGTTGCTTCGTTTTTTATGTGATAATACTTTCTCTTTAATTTTATAAACAGCCATAATTTCTTGTTCAGTTACAAAGTTCCGCTATTCAAGTCCTATAATTGCTATGTCGAGAATACCGACTAATTTGTCAATCGAAATTTTTTCGTTTTCAATAACCTCTGTGTCACTTTCTTCACTATCGGAAGCGAATTATAATGGTGAGGAATTTGATTTAAATCACATCAAAGACGGAGTACATCGAGATGTTATACTACATTTAGTAAAGAATTATAAGCCAAATAAAATAAAAACATCTGCCCTGAAGATACGGATAGTGCTGACAGATCAACTTGCAATTCATTGCGCAGCGCGGCGTCCCCCCCCCCACACACACATCGCTGAGCAGCGTGAAATTGATAAAAAGATTTCGGAATGGTTAGAGAAGCAAAGGATATGCCTTTATCCATTTTTTGCAGCAATTCTACTTTTTGTTTGATGGACATCGAAACATACTTCGCTTTGTAGATCCTTTGGCAGCTTTAGCATCGGAAATTCTATTTGACATAATTGAAAATTCAAGCTTACTTTTATAAAATTGCTCTAACAGTCTGCAAAAAATAATAAGCCGGATCCAATTCGAAGATTAAAGAACAACGCAATCTGCAACATTAACTGAAATAGATAATTTTAGCTTATACCATCCGTTATACATTAAACCCGCATGCGTAAACGTATTATGCGCACACGCATATGCGCAGCTGTAAAGGTCTTACACTCATGCATCAACGCGACGCATGCAGAAAGTTTGTAGCTTTGAGGTCCAGATTATAGATCATTCCAGATTATGGGTGTCCGAGTCAACGACTTTTGACTGTATATCAGGACTTGTCGGTAAACAATACTCGGGCTCAGTCGTCTTGGCTCCCATTTTCTTTCTGTTTAAATGTGGTGTAAAAGTATTTATTTAAAACTTAAAAATTTTGGCCTGAAGTTTAAAAAATTATGAGAGAAGTTACCTTTTCTCTTTAAAAAAATGAGAAAGCCGAGCTCATAAACTTTCGAATTTTACAGAATTTTTCTCTGTTGGGGAAGAGGTTGTAACAGCTTTAAATATTGTTGTTAAATTCTTGTACAATTTAAATAGATGAAGAATAATATAATATATATATTAACGGCAATGCAGGCTCGAGAGCTGCATGCAGTTCTCACACGAAGAAAGTATTTATTTTTATTTTAAATAAGTTAGAATATGTTTTCTCTTTTTGTTTGTATGTCGCCATTCTACGTAATAAATAAAAGTTATTGCTGTGTTCCATCAATGGAGTTTGCTTTAAATTGCGAAAGAAGTATCACAGTATCTCCACTCTAAGTTATTCATGCCGAGAATGTTATTATAGTCAACACTTATTAAAATGACCATTTCATAACAATGACACTTATGAAGGGCTCTATGTTGACGAAAGTATTAAATCGATTTTCATTATAATCCATCCTTTTCTTTGTATGATGCAAGAGGTTAAAAATATATTTACAATAATTGTTAGTTACCTTATTAATCATACTAAACGAGATTTTATTATTTGTCTTAGTAGTCCTTACTCTAAGCTAACATACTCTTTTTATTTACGAGAAAAACCCGACTCAAGGAAATAATACAATATCCTTCCTGAAACTAGAAGTTCTAGCAAAAATACATTCAGTAGTTCTCCTCGGAAGTTCTTTAGTTCTAATGAACTACATGGTATCTTGACCTTTTTAGAAAATTACTCACAATTAAGTTTGAAAACCAGCTACCACTGATGGTCCTCACCACTAAATGATTTTTAAGTGCTTGTCTGATAGGGAATCAAAACAAATTTGAGCAGCTTTTTTCATTTGGTGTTAAAATTTGCTTTTATTTGAAGTTTTGATATACATAACACAATGGTACAACTTGTTTTCTGTATTTCCAAGGCTCCTCTATGTTCATATTTTACAGAAGACTTTTTTTTTTTTTTTTTTTAAGTGTGGATATATATAGTTAAGCATGACAGGAAACTTAAGGGCTCCCAAAGGCTTTGGGCCGTTATGTTGAGGCATACTTTGCTCTGTTTACGCCATAATGGATAACGATTTGCAGCAAAAACCACAATCTCTTCAGTGACCTTTGGTGGAACAGTGCTAGACAACAGGGGGCCTAGGTATTCCTAATCAAATAAATTCCAAATTAACTGAGATGAATGATCTAATAATGCAAGAGCTGGTGTATAATCTATAATAGAATAAGTAAGTACCAATCACTCAGTGCCAATAAGCTTATTACATGTACATAATTCAATTAATAAAAATACATAAAAAACAATAAATAGTAAATAATATAAGTAATTATGTTTCTGCCACAACGCTGGGATTTAATATTGCCATAGGCCTTTTACTATTATCTGCACTATAATTATTATAATTATACATTCTAATCTTGGAGTTCTCATCTTAATATGAAAATGTTTTGCTAATGGATAATAAAAGGTGCGAAGCTGTACACTTTTAGATTCCCCATGGATTGTAACATTACGTATATACCATGCTGCACCAGTAATTTGACGAACAGAGTTCTGCACTGTTTGCAATTTTTTCTATACAATTTACAGGAATAGGCGCAGACTGGACAGGCATAACAAAGCATGGGATGCAGAATGGATTGAGTAACTTGTTGTCTATAGATAGAATGAAGTTTCGAGCAATTAAGGGTAAGAATTTAGTTGTAATCACTCGAAACTTCTGGATAACAGACTGTATGTGTGGGTACCATGTAACAGTCTTTGTGAGGAAGTGAAGCTTGAATGAAATTAAATACTGTTTTGTAGCCTGTTATGTGACAAATGGGGCAAATATTGACCAATTAAAGTAAAATGAAAACTTAGGATATTTCTCAGCATTTTTAACATTTGAATAATTTTGATAGTTTAATAACTTAATAAATTAAATGTTCTTTTTCAATAAACTTCTGCACAGAATATTTTCATGAAATGGCATTTAACCTATTTCTACAGAAATAAAATATTTCAGAGATACTTAAATGCAGTACCATTCATATAAAGAAAAATAAAATATATTTTAAGGGAACTATTTCTTGTTTATGAAAAATAAAGAATGGAAATATAATACTTAATTTTAAAAGGGAACATAGGTTAAGTCAGTTTTAATTACACAGATCTTACTAGTACATTACAGAGGTACTATTACCAGCTAAAATTATTATGAAACAAAACAAGCTGAATAATTACAGTGTAAAATATAGTATTATAAATAAGCAAATTTCAACAGATCGCTCAAACATACCAATACTACTTCCAACAAAAGCTACACATGCATTAAAATTCAGCCGCAATTACTAAACTGAAGACTGTCAATATAATCTTAAATTTATATATTTGTTTTAAAAAGATAAATGTAGAAGTCCAACCTCCTTGAGGCTCTGAAACCATTCTTCCATGAATTCATGGACAAGACAACAAAGAGACAAATAATTTTGCTAGGGAGTAAATGAGAGACTATTTAATAAAAACTTTAAAAAAAGAGAGAGAGAGAGTGTGTAGCAGCTCCCTCTACCATGCTGCACCAGTATAGAAGTTTAGATTGGTAACAAGGAAAAAAAAAAACATAAATAAAAAAGAAGTTCGCTCTGATGCTGTAACCCTGTCTTCTTTTATTATTGTGACTTAAAATGTCTTAATCCATTCTGGAATTATAATTTAAGTTATTAAATTATCCCATGTATTGACTGGGCATAGCGTTCACAACCAAAGAGAGGAAATCACTTATGCATTATTTATTAATTCTGGTAGACCTTTATTCTAATTTAAAATATGTCATTTTATGGTTGATCATCAAGAAAGATCTGTATTTTTTATGTAAATAAGATACAAGTGCCACTTTTTCAATTGTTTTTTCCCCCACTCTCCAATAGCTGAAAAATTCCATCATTAAAAGTCATTACATTTATTTGTATAGAAGTTGTCAAAGTGTTGTGCAACATTCACCAAAGAAGCAAACTCTAGGCTGGGGGCTGTTCAGAGAATTTTGAAGTGACTTGAAGAGATGAAAAATCTGAGGGGACAAAGTCTGGTGAATATGGGAGGGGAGCGACACAAAACATCCCAATCATGCTCAACATGCCTTTGTTTAACAGCCATTGAAATGTACAGCCGAACATTGCTATGATGCAGTATAACATCTTGATGACTGGTTATCTGGTGCTTTGCTTCGAATACTGCTTTTACAAATGCTATTTACAGATAGTAGTTTTCTGAATTCTTTGTTTCATTTAGTAGCAGTAAGTCACAGTATATAATTCTTCTGTAGTCAGATCATACACAAAGATTACTTATTTGGGATGCAGTCCCCTCTCAATGTTACTAAAAGAGTTTTTTTTGGCTTGGCTTAACATTTTAACTGATCGAGTTATTTTGATGATTTGGGTGCATAAATTGTCATTTTTTTTTTATTTTAAAAATGAAATGTTTGCCTCACAGTCAAAAAATTTCTTAAATGCAGCGCACTTTGAACTTAACCTCTATCCTTTGAAACCTTCAGTAAAATGCTGCCATCTGTTGAACTGAAGCCGAAATAAACTTCTCACGATATATATTCAGGCATAACAATACGATGCACTCAAAAAAAATTAGCCCGAGTAATATTCGGGCGTGACATTTTGGAATACCAGTGCTGTGCCCAAGATTATTTCAGGCATGACAGTTAAAAGGTTAATTCTGCTCTGTTAATGCACGGGGTGCCCATACTTTGTAGAAGCTTATATAACAAATGTTCTTCAAATGATCATGTGCTGTACTTTCTGGAATATTGTCTCTCTATATATATATATTGTTACGAAACGTACAAGCGCGGTAAGATGGCTTTCCCGCAAAGCAGTTTTAGGGTTACCATAAAATGGCAAGGGAAGGCAGGGTTGCCACATTTGGCGAGAAATCGCCCATATGGCGACATGCCATGGACTGATGGAGAACCTTCTGGAACGAATTCTTACCGGTTTAACCCAGAATGTCCTCGAACACAAGGCGAAAGCTATATAAACCCTGCTGGTCCGCAGTCAGTGAGTAGTATTGAGAATGTGTCTCGCCTTTCGAGTCAGTCCATGCGGAGTCAGTTGACTTGACAGCGGGGCAGCGAGTGCTGAGTGCACTGAAAGAATCTTGTAGCGTATCACGGTTAGTGCATCGTCGAGAGAGCGTGTTGAGCTCCAGGAACGACTGAACCGAAGAGTGAGGAGGTGTGTGTCATCGAGTGCATTACGAGTTGTAGCGTGGAGAGTCTCAAGAGTACGTGAAGTTCTGAGAACGACCAAGCAGAGTTGCGAGCTGTACTCAAGCGCTTTGCCGTAAAGCCGTCTCCACTGTGATAGCCTGATAACTTGAAGGCTGTGTCTCAGCGTGTTTATGGTAGTTCATCGACGAATGTAAAACGTGTTTTGAAGCTGTCCTGGCAGTACTAGCAAAAAAAATGTGTTTCGATACTTCATCAAGTGTTGTTGTTATTCACTCCAAATCCACACGAACGTGAAGGAAGAAAATAACACAACAACTGGGGTCGGACAGAAAAAGAAAAATTGCAACAATATATATACATCTGGTAGTTTTTTAACTTTACATATTACATTTTAATTACATAACATAACCTGAAAATACCATACTTAAACCTCTGCCTCAACCAAAGTTCCATCTTATCAGCAGAAACAAAATAATGACAAGAAAACATGCTTCGATTAAAAAAACCGCAGAAGTTTCTAGATGAACAAATAAATTTTTTTATGCATTTTTACAAATATTATAAAAAAATCATCAAATGCAATTTAAACATTAACAGAGTTTGTTTGGGTAGGAGACAAGGTAAATTTAGTATCATGTTTATATTAGGGAAAGCTCTATAATGCCTTAATGTTTTAAGATGAAAAAATTCTAAGGGGAATTTTTTAAAAAAATAATATACACTATTTTAATCATTTTGTTACTAGCTTGTTTTAATTAAATCCATTTAGAATGAAGTCTTAAAAATGAAAATACATTTCAAAAGCAATAAATCTTTATATATTTCAAATATTTAAATAACTTGCAAAAACTAACATTAGAATTATTATGAAACAAAATTATACTAGATAAAGGAGTATAAAATTCACAAAATTAATTACATGCATTTTAAAAATCATTTCATGAATTTTCAATATTTTCTTCTAAACCATATTTTGGTGTTTCAATAATGTTTTCCTGTTCTAAAGCAGAACTGCTTTCATTAGTTCTTTCACATACTTCATGATCTGATTCAATTGGTTCATTGCCAAGAACTTGCTCATCATTGTCTGATAATTCACTTATTTTTGAAACTTCACAATTTTCGTCATTTATTTCAAGAATTTTATCTTCAGATTTTAGTTCAACACTTTTATAGTGTTCATTCGAATCAGTATTTTCTGTTATTTTCTTAGTTAGATTTTCATGATCAGATACTAAAATACTCTTATTCTCAACTGAAGAAGACTGTTTGATGTTCATTACTAAACCTATATCATCTTCCTCATCTTTCGTTGGTAAAATATCAGCAAGGGGATCTGATATATTTTTTGAATTAAGTGTACATAAATGTTCAACTTTTTTAAACTCCAGTGATGTAACACCAAGCACATAAGACACATCCTCTGGAGGGAATAACATTGCCAAACACTTACTGAAATGAGATATAAGATCAGTATTAAAAAGAAAACAAAGTTTAATAAAATTTTCATACTCAATGTCTGTCATGAAACGTCTCTTTTTTGAATGAATATTAATCAAAGTTTGTACTATTCGCTTTAATGATTTGGTTAATATTTCTGTAACAGTACAATACATTGAGAATGAACAACAAAGTCTCAGTTCATTAAAAGAGCCCAAAACAGCATTACAATAATGTGCTAGTGGATAAAAATCCAGTAAACTATTAGGTGGTTGCATTGAATCATCTGGCAAACTAGGCACCAATAACATAGTATTTGTATATGAAGAAAAGGAATAACTATCCATCAATTTTTCAAACATGAAAGTGGCATTTTCAACTTCTGAACGATATCTATGTAACATAACATTCTGAAAAACTGGTACTAAAAGTGGTCTAAAATCTATGTTTACACGACTGAATGATAACCCAAAATACATGCACTGAGCCAATATTGAATCTATTCTACCACTAAGATTAGCTGAAAGATCATTTTCAAGAAGTTGAAGAAACCAAGAAATTTTCCACGTAATCCAGCTATGAAAAACTGCACAATTACTTTTATAATTTTCACATAAAAGTAATAATGGATCTTCATCTGAAAATATAGCTCTGTATTGAGTAATAATATCAAACAAATGTATTCTGCTGCTTTCGATCACTTTAATTATATGCTGATAAGAATCATTTTTATCTATATCATTAATTACCTTTTGAAACCAAGAGTCCCTAGCTTGTAAAAATTTAATTCGCAATTCCATTTCATTAAAAACATCCATCCTCCTAAGGTAACCTACTACTTTTAAGCATTCAGGAAGCTGTATGTTTGTTCTAAGTTTTCCAAGTAAATGAGCTAACATAGTATTTGCAGCAATCTGAATATCTTTAACAATACTTTTAATAAGAGGTATATCAACATGTTTTCTTTCTAACCTTTTTACATAAGATGATAATTCTAGAGCTTCATCATAATATTCACCTTTTACATAATTATCCATTAACTGCGGCATTTCAAGAAATTCAAGCAACTGTGGGTGTCTGGCTAAAGTGGATGATGCCTGGTGCCATCTAGCATTGATTTGATGAGCCTCTTTTGCAAATTCAGAACATTTATTTTTAAACTGAGGTAATTTATGTAATAATGCATCTAGACGAGATTCGATGATATTAAAATCCTGAAAAATCTTTTGTGAGCATTCAGCAGCTTGGATAAACGTTTTATAGTTGTGAAATGCTAAGTCTTGAGTTTGTTCTAAAATTCCAATTTTTTCTTCAGCTAATCTTTCAGGTTCTTGGCTTAATCGCTGAAGTCCCAGAGCTCCTAATTCAGATAGATAAATCAAAACATCAGAATTATCTTTCCAAGATTGAGAAAATGATTCTGGTAACACATGTAACACTTCTTCATAATCTATTATATTATGACCTACAGACATCGCAAAAAGTACTATTACTTATAATGCAATACCTAAATGTATACGATTCTAACTTCATAAGTCAGACAGACAGACAGATGTCTTGTTTTGCACCCGCTAAGTCTTTCTGCGCCGATGGGCGAAAAATCAAACTCAGGTGTGATCGTATTTCTGAGGAGAGTAAATAGGAACTTCGTACATTTGTAAACACAAGATTTCATTAAATGACGCGGTTGGCAGTTTGAATTATGACGTAGCACAAGCATAGTACCTGAGCGGGTAAAGTATGCATTTTAGCATTTATAGCAAGTATTCATGTAATGACTCATTTATGTAGAAGATAGAGAATTAACAACAAAAATTTTTATAGGAAAGGAATCACTGCAGCTTTTTTCCATGTAATGTCAAAGAGCATTTGTTCTTAAAAAAAGGTCCTTCCATGAACTCCACAACGTTTTGTTCTTATTACGCAATATGATGTAACTTAAAAAACTAGCGTCTCAAATCAGAATGGCCGTGAAACGGCTCCTTAAGGCCCGTTTACACTAGCGGAACTTGGTCCCAAGAAACGTACGCTAACGTTAAGTTGTTACTCCCAAGGATCCCACCCGTTTACACTTGTAAGTCTCAAAGCCTAAGAATTACTACCCCCAACCAATAAAGTCGCTTTGATTTGCGCATGGGCAATATTTCCTATTTTGGGGTACAATATCGAAAGTTTGCGGTAGAATGTCTAAAGTTAAAAAAGCTGAAGAAAGAAAGCGCGTTATGCATTTGAGAAGTAATTTAATATGTATGTATTTGCTGTACAAAAGCGTTTGCGTTCCAAGGCGGGAATGGGTTCGGTCAATATTTCAAGAGCGAGATACGTATTCCGCTCATGCAGCATTGTTTCCGTCACTGAGGCAGAAGTACCCAGAATTATTTTTCAATTATACTCGAATGACGGTAAGTTATTTTTATTTTTTAGCAAAACCTGAAAGTAAAAATTGAAGGAAAGACTGTCAAATATTTCTTTTTATATATCAGTAAATTAGTAATTTTTTTCCTTAGTAATTTATACTAAGGAAATAGGATTAATGATTACATTGCGATTTAATTACCAACAAAATGATTTTTTATATAATTATGGACTAGCATTAGTTATAACTAATTAGTTTAAATTAGTTTAATTGGTTTATTAAGCGCATTATTAATGAAGGTTGTTTATAATTCGATTACCTTAATGAAACGTAATATCAGATTGAGTATAATGTAAAATTACTAGATGTGCCAGATGTTGGACAGTCAACATTTTAATGCACTATCGTGTATTAGGATATGTTCCTCTGTTAGAAAATACCCAGCATTCTGTATCCGTAGATTTTTTAATTATTACTGTCATGAATTTTATTAGTATTGCTTCACTTTGTCATGAAAATACTTTTGTAGAACCAGAAATATAAAATAATTAGGCTTTTAAATAATATATTCTAGAGAATTTGGGAGATCCATAAAAAGACTTGCTTTTAAAAGATTTTCTGCATTCCTGTTCCACCTGTGTTTTATATTTGACAAATGAGCAATAAAATTAAATCATGTAAATATTTTAAAAAATCATTTTTGGAGAATATTGTAGTAATATGATGAAAAACACTTAACCTCTAAAAGAATGTAAGAATAATTGTATCAAAATAGATTATTTAATGAAATTCTACTACCTGAAAAATTAAGCAATTGTTAGAGTATAAGAGTGAAATTGAAATGGAGAGTAATTTTCCTTTTAATCAGAATTATCATATTTTATTTTTTCAAATTTGTAAGATAAATAACTGAATATTTTTCACTGATCATAGTTGCAGCAACACAGTATATATTTCGGCAATATAAGTATATAGTGATGCCCCTCATGTTGAGCACCTTCAATAGTCAAAAGTATTCCTGAGAATATAAACAAACATTGGTAATGACAATCACAGATAACCATATTCTCTGAAGGTTGCTATAATATCCCGTCGGTGGCTAAATAAATAAAAACACTGAACATTAATTGTTCAATACCTGATGAAAGGGTTTAGAACATAGGCATTTTGTGCATATCTGTCCAAGATATAAATGTAAATTAGTTTACCTTAAAAAATCTTCCTGATGACATTATTTAGGGTTACCTTTAGGCAGGTAACCCTAGTGTGTGGTGCATAATCAAATAATCATGTTGAAGGTGATCACCTTCACAGAAGGCTGAAATCATTTCTAATTATGGAGTTTATGTTATTTTTGTTAATAACATGCGAGTAATCGCTAAAAGTGTTAATTGTTAGAAATAGTAAGATTATACTTCAAGCAATTTTTCAAGACAACAAAATTATTTTCTCTTACTTTGGCTAATCATTTTAGCACAATATAAACTATTTTGTATTTGTTTTTATATTAATTAGATTATTAAATATAGTTCTGATGTCCAATTTACTCATAAGTATAATATTATTGAATTTACATGTAGGGAGAACAATATGATCATCTTCTACATTTACTGCAAGATAAACTACAGAAGCAAGAAACACGTTTTAGGAAATCAATTTCAGCGTCTGAGAGACTTGCCATCTGTTTAAGGTAAATATAAATATATACATTTGTTTTGAAAGCAGTGTCGACGCTAGACAATTTACCGCCTGGTGCAAACTCCACAAATCCTGAAATTCTGCCACCTGATTCCTTCCTAAATTCTAATAATTTTGCCATCTGGTGTGGTCACACTGGTTGCATATGCTCTGGCACCAGCTCTATTTGAAAGTCTTTATTACATCTAATTCCAGTTTTGTGTAGTATATATAATTGAAAATTAATGTTCTTGTCAGAACATTTTATACTTCTGTCTAATTGAACTTTTTAAAATTCATATTTTTTTTAAATTTGTAATGCATTTAAAAAATTATGAATAATTTTATCAAAATAAGTTACATAAATAAAGCATTTATTTTCTATGGTTTAATAATAAGAAAGAAAATTGCAATCTCTTTGAAACTGACCCCCCCCCCAAAAAAAAAGAACCTTTTTTAAAACTTGCATACTGCTACAGATTGCCCTTTGTTCATTTTTAAACAACATGTTTTTAAAACTGCAAAAATTTAATTATTGATTCAGAATGTTTTTGTAGATTTCTAGCATCTGGAACTAATTATACAGACCTGGCATACACTTTCCGTGTTTCTAAATCTTCAGTTTCACATATTATTCGAGAGACCTGTGATGTCATATGGCAAGTCTTACAGCCACTGGTTATGGCTATACCAGCATCATCAGATGAATGGGCTGTAATAGCAGAAGGTTTTGAATATAAATGGAATTTTCCCAACTGTGTTGGTGCAATCGATGGTATGTATTATGTCTTGCATTCCATATTTATTTGTCAGTGAGTACTTTTGAAATACAAAAATTGCATTATATTAAAATTAGGCAAATGAAGATTCTTTTCAAAGATAAATATAAAATATTGCAGAATCATCTAACTTGATATATGAGCTGTCTTAAAATATCAAAAGACTGGAATTGTTTCATAATAAATAAATGAAAGTGTGAAATGAAAAACAAATTTTAATATAAAAAGGAATTTTTTTTTTGCAAGTTTCTAATTTAAGACCTTTTTTAAGAACTGAATTTATTATTGGAAAAAGTATTTATATTAATTTTTATCATTAAAGTGTATATTATTTTTCTTTAGGCAATTAATAATTGTTGCTTTTTTTTTCTTGTAGGTAAGCATATCAGAATACAAGCTCCACCGTCAGCTGGAATCAACATATTATAATTATAAGGGCTATAACAGCATAGTCCTAATGGCAGTGGCAGATGCTAGTTACACTTTCCTTTATGTTGATTCAGGCAACTATGGACGCATCAGTGATGGTGGAATTTTCAGTAACTGTTCACTAGGTAAAGCTTTGGTTAGTGAAACTTTGTTTTCATTGCCAAATCCAACACCATTATTAAATAGTGATCGAGTTTTGCCTTTTGTATTTGTTGGAGATGAGGCTTTTCCACTCAGGAAAAATATTTTACGCCCTTATCCTGGCAAATTTCTGTCGAATGAAAGAAAAATTTTTAATTACAGACTTTCTCGAGCAAGGAGGTGCGTTGAAAATGCTTTCGGCATATTGGCGTCTAGGTGGAGAGTACTTCGTACTGAAATTGCCCTGAACCCAGAGCATGCTAATAAAGTAGTTTTGGCATGCTGTTGCCTTCATAATTACTTAATGAAAAATGAGTTGGGAAAGGCAGCTAAGAAATACTGTCCAGTGAACTTTGCTGATTCTCTTCTTTCAAATGCCACCATTAAAGAAGGTATGTGGAGAACAGAAGAATTTACATGGCAACCTCTTGGCCGTCTAGGGCCTGATTATTTTAATTTTAACTGGATATCATAGGGGATAAAAAATCAAAAAATAAAAAACATAAAAATACAGATAAATAAAACAAAAAAAAAAGATCATGATTACTTGATATGACTTGCTTTTATGTTGTTTCAAACAATTGATTCTGAGCTCTGAGTTACTTATGGTACGTAAACGAATGTGAAACTGTCTGGCCAGGAGGTAGTAAAATCTTCGTAGTGGAACTATGCCTAGTTCTGCTTGCATTGTTTCTAATTCATTGCGGTATTTCTAATTGTACGGTGCGTTTGTAATTTGCCGCAGAACAACATTCTGGGCATTTTTCAGTTTTTTACGTAGAGTTTAACGTGAATACGCCCAGACCGGATAAGCCTAACAGAGCACGGGACGCCGAATGTATTTTTAAATAAGTAATTTATTATCTATAGATAAAACTCTGTTTCGGGAAATTAAGGAGTTGATTTTAGCTTTACGAACCGGAAACTTCTAAATAATACAATGTATATGTGGGGACCATTTGATGGAATTTGTGAGGATCACCCCAAGATAAGTGACTTTAGCCCAGGGCAGTGAGGTTCCATAAAACTGCAGGTTTAGTTCAACTTTTCTCTTCTTAGTGAAGACTATGGCAATTATTTTTCCAACGTTGGCCTGAATTTTGCAATTCAGTAGCCAGGCCTCAAGTGCATGTATGCTCAAAATACATTGAAGATGTTGTATGACTGGACTAAAAATGTATTTTGAGCAAGGATCGCTGTGTCCTCAGCATACATTGCTAGTGTAGTCTTGAGTGTGGTAGGTATATCGTTCACATAAATATTGAAAAGTGTAGGCTCTAGTAGCGGCCCTGGGGAACGCCAGCTGAAATCAGAGGTTTAGGAGTAAGTGTTAGAAAGGTGAACGACAAAGAGTCTAAGGGACCTCTTAGGTAGGATTTAATTATGTGTGTAATGTAATCTAGAAAGCCCGGACTGTGTATTTTGTATGTTAGTGTGTCTATCCAGACACAGTCGAAAGCTTTGGAGGAATAAATCCCTAGAACACTTCTTGTAATGAATTCCTTCAGAGATGTGTTCCGCAACACGATAAAGTTGATAGGATGTAGACAACGACTTCCGAATTCCAAAGTGTTGTGGTATCTGTATATTGTTTGCTTCCAGATGATCACGTACGTTTTTGAGAATAACTGCTTCCTTAAGATTATACAGCAACGAAGTAGACTAATGAGTCTGTACGACTCAGGTTCAGATGCAGGTTTATTTGGTTTGAGAATAGGGGTGATTTTCCACTCCTGGGCAAGTATTGCCATTGCGGTATAGTACTGAAAATGTTGGTCAGCATGAATATTAACTTGACTAGTAGCATCTTCATTATCTTGCTGTTGATTTTGTCAATTCCTGGGGCTCTTGTTGTCTTAATTATTCTTGTTGTTCTTTAAATTCTTAACATAGCCCATAACTTCCGACAGTCGGACTGGAAAGATGTCGTTAATAGGTGGGTTCTGTTGCATTATTGTTATGAAAGTCAGAGATAATCTATTCTGTTGGTATGTCATGCATGTTGTTTATGCAAAACTTGGATTCCGGATGCGAAGCTAAGAGTTCTGCTTCTCAGTTTCGGTATAATGGATTCTTTCAGAGCCTTTAAAGGGCGGAATATTATTGTAGCATTTCCTTTATCTAGAGCATGCTCTCCAGATGGAATTTTCATCCGTAGAAAGCACACTTAAGGCCTTATTCAATTGAAACGCCGATGATCGCAAAAACAGCGATCGTTATACCCAGCATTTACGATCATTTTCGGAAGGGAGTGATTTTTCGTATTCAATTGAAACACCTGCCTACCAGCAAGGCCAACTAGGCCTTGCTACCAGTCGAACTGGCGGGGGTTGCCAGAGAATATTTGATGCGCGATTCTGATTATCACGTGGTCGGACGGGGCGTTTTTTGAGAACTAACCAATGAAACCGTTTCTCTGCCCTTAACTGTTTTGTTAACTGAAAACCGCATTTCTATTTGTAAATATGGATCGGAAACGAATGAGCGCGATGAATCCACATGAACTTTCTGTATTAATTGATCTTTTGGAAACCCGGTCCGATTTAATTAGTGGGAAGCTGGGAGGCAGCTGTGCAAATGTAGCTGCTGTGAAGACAGCATGGGAGGAAGTAGCTTCCCAGTTAAATGTTTTGGGGTCGGGGGTAATTCGCTCCGGACCTGAAATTTAAAAAAAATTGAATAGATTTGAAATATCGCACCAAAAGAAAAGCTTTTGAAATTAACCAAGCTGCTACACAGACAGGTGGAGGTCCCCCTTCCGCCCAAAAGCTAACTGACCCTGAATTAAAAATCCTGGCCCTAATTGGTAGGACATGCGTGGAAGGAGTTTGACAGCATGCATATCCAATTGAAGGTAAGCATATTTTATATTTGAAATTAAGGCAAAAAATTATATTAAATCTAATACCATATATGCTGAAACTCATTTATATTTACATTTCTACAGGAAGTACCAGTTCAGCCGAGTACTTCAACCTTAGGTATATACAAGTTTTTTATGTGGTCTCTGCAACTTTCATTATAAAAAAATTCGATTATTGAACTGTTCTGTAAAAAGATACAAAGTTAGACAAGTCGCGTTACTACTTATTTGCTGTTGTTTGATAAAAGTATTTCTTCTAATAAATTTGCCCTTAATCACTTCCAATGCAGAGCACTTGGTTTGAAATATTTTGCAGCATGTAATTTTAAATATTAATATTTTTAGGTAGGAATGTTCTAGGACTTTTGAAATTAACACAGAACAGTGTATCTAATGTAGCATTTATGCTGCACACATAAATGTGCTAAAGGATGCAAATGACTTGTGACTGAAAATTTCTTAGAGACATGACGGCATCATTCAATATATTGAGCAGTTGCTTGTCAGCAGGAAATCTAGTGCCAGCATTTCGTCTTTTGATTAGATATTTAAGTTGCATACTTCTTTTGGGTTTGTAATTTTTGATATTGTTACAGGCATTTCTGTGGGTATGTAATATTGAATCCGCAAAGTCCTTAACCAAACTATCAGTGTCACTCTCATTATGTACTGTTGGCAGTGTGTAATGTATGTAGTTTAGAGCTTTGGCAAACTTAGGCCTAGTAAGAAATAATGGCTCTTTTGACTGTTGTGATAGAATTACACAAACTTGGCATTGCGCACAGCTGATGTCCAAGAGAACTCTACCGGATATGGTCAGACGAGAATTCATTCAGCGCAGAAACATCCAGTGGATCACTGGCATTTCTGAGCAAGAAGAAATCTGTAATTTCTGAAGACTTAGTACCATATCGTGTTGAAGTACGCGTATCGCTATGCGTAATGCAGCCAAGTTGGCCAAATCGTAAATAACGCGTCCGTTGCTGTTTGAGTTGTAGAAGAGCTGTGTTTTTCGTTTTCGTTAATTAATACTTGATTTTCCGCCTGGTGAGTCGAAAGACGTGGAATGTGCAAAACTAGACATCTGTCTTCTTTGTCTGTCTGTCTATTTATTTGTGTGTGGGAGTCTGTAAAACTAGTGGAATAAAATATTTAACTTCACGGAAGCGTTGACTGCAACTCATTTAAAATTTGTGTTACTGACAATGAGTGGTAATGGTCAGAACCATCAGGTGATAGCATACATTTTTCTTTTATTTGTAAAGTATGTAAAATGAAAATATTGTGCCTTATATTTATGGGAATTTTCGAAGTAATGAAAGCAGCAAACGTGTATATTAAAGAAAGAACCGCACTTGCAAAATATTGCTTTGTTTTATTATTTCCGTAGCAATATCATTTATTAGTATAACATTAGAAATCTATTTACGATATGTGCTATAAACTTCTATGTGTTGTCAAAGACCTCTTGTTCATTAAGAAGTATTGCAATAAAATAATTGGATACTCTCAGGGAAGAAATTTACCATTCTTTTCATTCTTGCTATCTCGAGGGTTTTTATGCAACTGAGAATGCTTGCTCTTTATAAGATTTTAGTTGCTTTATTAATGAGAAATTATGTGCAAACGATAAAAAATAAATTTTTATGTATCTACTGATTTAGTTTTTAAACTGCATTAAATTATTCAGTTTCGTTTTGTACAGTAGCCTTACTAATATAATAAATGCATATTTTAAAATCTAGTGTTAACAGTTTTATAACATAGTTGCTGAAAGACAAGATAAGTGTTCGTTATTTACTAATAAAAAGTATCATTAATTTTGAAGCAAAGTATTTTTCAACAGGTACCGAAAGAAAATGATGATGCTGGTGATGGACCAGAAGAAGATGATGATTTTGGTGAATTCGAAGGATTTGAAGTAAGAATGGATGTGAATTTTATTTCTCACACAATGAAGCCAATATAATGATATTGCATGTTATTGTATTTTCTCACTGTAATAGTCTTGTAATCTTTGAAAATGAGAGGTAAGAAAATTGTATGGAGGTCCACCAGTGGCCAGAGAGAATTGATACTTTTGTTATGGGTTTTATACTTAGTGGGAAAATAGGGTAAAAGTTTACAATTTGGTGTCCCTTGTTTTTTGGCAATTCTTTTTTGATGCCAAAATCAGCGGCAGGAAGGCACAACATCAAGATGGCTGCTACACAAAACCAAAATAAGAAGTCAAAGAATTGCACAAACTCTGTGTCCATGTACACTCGATCTATTTTCACTTAAAAAAACATGGTACAACTCTAATATACGCCCTAATTTCACCAAATGGGGCGATATGTGTTCTGCGCTGGTTTTTGGCGCGATTGCGTGTTCTATGGCAACCCTGTTGACGTTGAAAAATCTTTCGCTGGAGCTCGTTGGTTCGCATCATGCTCTGTGTCTGAGAAGATAGGGGAGGGAAAGATAAAATGGTGGAAGTTGTTGAATTGAAGTTCGGCAAAAGGAATATGATTGTGGCTATCCTGTTGAGGGGTAGTGGGTATTTGGAAGTGTGGAAAGAGGGTCTGGGAGATTATTTTTAATGGCAGTGCATGATAGAAGTAGGGATTTGTGATTTTATTTATTTGTGAACCATAGTATAAATTTTCTGGATAGTGTGTCTGGCTGTCATGTAAATACGATAGTGATTATGTGGCGGCATGTTAAAGGCGGTATGAAATTTATATTTCTGCTATTCGAAAACGCATTAATTCATGGTAAGTGCATTTTATTTATCCTTGTTCTTATTTTGTGGAATGCTATGTTCATTGGTTCTTTAGTATGAATTTCTGTCGTTATTGTTGTTTTTTTAAATTGTTTGAAATTTATTTTAGTTTATTTTGTTGTTTAGTGTCTAGACTACAATTCGTAGATGTTTTTTAAAGTTGAAACAGAACGCTGTGTACATGGTATTATTTGAAATTTATTGTTGTTATGTTATTTTATTAAAGGAGTGCGTAGATTGTAGATTCCTTCCTTGCCTAAATTGTGCAATTCGTAGAATGTTTTTTTAAAGTTTTTTTACTATAACAGGATGCTTGTGTACATGGTAGTTTTTTGAAATTTGTTCTTGTTATGTTAATTATTAAAGCGAGGTGTGCGTATTTTGTTAGATTCGTTCGCAATGCCTACATTGTGCAATTCGTAGATGTTTTTTTAAGTTATTAAAACATGTCGCTGTGTACATGGATTCTTGTCAAATATTTTTGGTTAGAAACTTTACGTTTTTGCTATCTAAATTTTTGGTTTTTGTTTCGGATTTTTAACTAAATTGTGTGTTCAAAACGTAGTTTTTGCATGTGCGAAAACCACGTTTTTGGAGACATTTTAGGCTAAAAGTTCAAAATGTAGACAAAAAATTTAGATAGTAATATAGCAGCGTGAAGTTTCTCGCCAAAAATATTTGGTGACTTGAGGGCGCATATCAGAGTAGTTCCAAAAACATCTCAGAATTGCACGAACTAGGCATTGCGCACTGCCTTAAATTTGCTCATGTACACATGAATCTATTTTCATTTTTAAAAAAATCTTGAAGCTAAAACAAAAACTATCATGGTAACCAGAAATGAGGTTTCATCGCCAAAAAATGTAATTTTTTCTCCTTGTATGTTGGGTATGAGTCAATTTCTGTTAAGAGAGATTTTGATGGAAAGAGAAATGTAATTTTTTCTCCAAAAAATGTAATTTTTTCTCCTTGTATGTTGGGTATGAGTCAATTTCTGTTAAGAGAGATTTTGATGGAAATTATGTTTTATGCTGGTAGGTCTTGACTATTTTGTTACAAATGATGAATTAAAAATCAAGAGCTGTTACAAAAGAAAGGGAGAAATCAGTTAGGTATTTTCTGTTTGTCTGCATTTTCAAAAAAAAAAAGTCAGCCAATAATTGCCGATTTTTTTGGTTGATCTCTATATTATGGTAACTTGGCGTTTTTTTGGCGAAAATTTGCCGACCAACTCTCCTACAGCAACCCTCTATTTTTTTTTCCTGCCGCCATTTTGTCTTCACGAAGTAAAGACATGTTTCTTTTCTTTTTATCTACTGAACACTTCTTCCAACAATCTACTAGCCGAATTACACTTACGCTAGAAATTTTATCTAACAAAACTGCTTAATCATGACAAATATTCACTGCAAAATTGGGAAAAAGTGCACAATACCATACTCCTTACGCGTTTTTCAAAAAAAATAACACATACACATAAACCATGTACACGCCGACTTATTTTTACTTAAAAAAACATCCCAGAATTACACAAAAATGGCATTGCGCACATTCTTCACTATATCCACGCACACTGCTTTTTTCTCATAAATTAGAAAATTTTCACGAAAATACATGACAATTTTCTGAATCTTTAAACCCGGTAAAAAGAACATATATGAAATTACCTGATCGCGAAGAAGTTTATACCCTTTCCAAATATGAACATTTCCACATATAAAATAAATAAAATATCCAAAAACTTTTACCTCTAAATCATCTATTATATTATACACGTCACCAACGAATTCATACCGCAAGCATTACAAATATTTAGATTATTCAAATATTTAGATTATTTCCATGCATGTTTACTTCAACTTAAACGTATACCAAATTCCTACAAACATAAAATTCACAAAATAACTATCATTTAATTAAAATATCACTAAACCATGTACACGTCGACTTATTTTTACTTAAAAAAAATCCCAGAATTGCACAAAAATGGCATTGCGCACACTCTTCACTGTATCCATGTACACTGCTTTTTTCTCATAAATTAGGAAAATTTCACGAAAATGCATAACAATTTTCTGAATCTTTAAACCCAGTAGAAAGAACATATATGAAATTACCTGATCGCGAAAAAGTACATACCCTTTCCAAATATGAACATTTTCCCGTATAAAATAAATAAAATATCCAAAAACTTTTACCTCTACATTATCTATTATATTACAAACGTCACTAACTAATTCATACCTTTACTTCATTACAAATGGTTACAAATACTTAGTGTCAAATATTTAAATTATTTCCATGCACGTTTACGCAAATTACTTTACTTCCACCTTACATTTAGAACAATGCATAAAAATAATATCCTCAAATAATTAAAAAATACTAACTTACCTATTCTTCTTCAGAATCTTGATTACGTGTCCGATAAACTTTTCTTATTTCTGTTTCAGGATCTTTAAAATCATACTTATAGTTCACACCAAGGTACCAGATAAAATAAATAACTTAATAAAACATCTTTACTTCTATCTCACACAACCTTAAAGAAACACTTATTACCCCTTTCAATCCCACTAAATACCCATTTCGAATTCACTTTAGTTAGGGCCATGGGATCCAAAAATTAACGAACGCTGTTTCACACAAGACAGAATAAAGGCAAATACAAAATTTCCAGATTTTTTTCCGATTTCCCCCCCTTTTCCGATTAAAGAACCGTAATTCGTCCATTAATATCAGATGACATATCACATGATCTCTCATTTCCCTCACACAAAATAATGTGTAATCGGAACTGAGTACTGCTCACATTATTACCAAAGTCCCAGGTAGTAACCTTTATCGCTTCTAAAATGTCGCCAAACTACCAGTTACCATATTGTAAAGATCAGCCATTTTTTTAATTACAAAAAAAAATTGTTTGCCTATTCTTATAGCTCATAGGTACTATTCTGTTTGTAAATAATAATAAAATGAAATATTCGGTAAAAGATAAATTTTGTAATGAAAAGGAGAAGGCTGCTAATCAGCAAAATGACAGTTAAGTGTGTGTATTGAAAGTATGAGTGAATTCATGTGTACTGAAACAATGGAGAAGTAAGTAGAGCAGATACCAGCAACTCACATTGTAGGATGGTTTGAAGCCTCTTTGCTGATAACTTGTCCTACCCTACTCATTTTTATCAATCCGATCAGACTGTTATTTACATGCAACTCTATGCATATTTCACTGTTTTTTAAGTATGCTAAAAAATGCCACTTTGTAAATAGACTAAAAAAAATTTTATAATGCCTTTTAGCTTATAGAGCTAAATATTAAAAGCATTAGAAATTTGTGATAAGCATAAAAAAATTAATCTTTAAATGCCTCTAAATAAAATGATAGGCATGGAGATATAATTCCAAAACAATTAGTTCTTTGTGCTTATTTAAATGAGGATGGCCAATTTAAGTGGTAGTAGAAAAATCAGAGCAGTATACAGATATAACATTAAGAAACAAGTACTTTAATCCTTAAAAATTATGATAATTGTAATATTTAGCCCAAAGGGGCAATTTGCCTTGAAGGACTGTTAATTTCGTTTTGGCATTTTGTGTTGAAAACTATAAACGGCGAAGCACTTTTTCAAATGATTGCCACCAAATATTATCGCCCTGTATTATATTTAAAGAAATTAAATGGCGAAGAATCTGCATGAATGCATGTGTGTTTCTCGTATTATGATAAAACAACAATACATAGAGCCATCAAAATTTGAATAATGCAATCTTCCATAGAATATGGGCACGTGGAAGCCCTAATTTGAATTTGAAATTTGTTTAATATCGATTTCAGTAAAATTATATTTATGGGTATCCTTTGGCGATTTTTGATGGTACATGGATACGAGTTTGTGCAGTTCTCCGACTTGTTTTTTAGGCTTGTATAGCGGTAATTTTTGGGCCAAAAACGCCGCTACACAAAGCCAAAATAACAAGACAAATAATTGCATAAACTTGGGTATCCATGTACACATCGACCTATTTTCACTTTCAAAAATCCCAGAATTACACAAACTTAGCATTGCGTACTCCCTTTATCCATGTACAGATCAACCTATTTTCACTTAAAAAAAAAAAAAAAAAAAATCAAAATTTTTCTTAGAAAGTCCTCCATAAAAATATGTCTCCTCTTAGGCAGATAGCCCTCTTGTGCTTTGCCTTACTCTGGCAACCATAACTATAATTATGATTCCTTACAATAAAGAGTAATCCTTTTGAGGGAGAAAAATGCACTCAAAACAAATACTTATGGCAGAATATGGTGCTCATCTGCTGCATGCATGAACATACTCGGGCTGCCGCTTAAATGCATTTTAGCAACCTAGGGCCATTGTCTCATGAGTACTTTTTTAGGAGGTGTATGTAATCAGAAAGTACTGAAGCTGGCTCATATTTACGTTACCAATGAAGAAAGCCACAAAACCTGATCAGCAAACGTGTTCACAGATATTTAAATTCAGGTCAGAATTTATTTTTATTACATTGTTAAGTGGTTTCATTCACTCTGTTTCTGCAGGGTTATTTTCCATAGCTCACAAAAATTATTTTATTTATTATCGTTAACAGTACAAAATATTTGAGAAATAAATAATCATTGACAAATTTATTGGAGTACTTTGCACTTGATATCAGAGTGTTGTTTAGTTTGAATAATGCATATTAACTTGAATCAAAGCTTCATTAACCCTTTAACTGGTCAATATTTTCACCTGAAATGGTTCTAAAAAAAAAGGCTTTTTTTTTTTTTTTTTTTTTTTTTTTTTTTTTTTTTTTTTTTTTTTTTTTTTTTTTTTTTTTTTTTGCACAATATCATACTTTACAGAATATAAAAATGTGATAATTTATTTTGTAGCTTTCATAATTAGTTTTTAAATCATATTTTTATTTTACAATTTTAAAACACAATTACCCTTAAATGTTTGCTTTTTCCAATTATACTCTCCATGTAATGAAAATAAATAATGTAATGAAACGAATTTACAATATTTCTAAAAAATAAGCTTGCTTATAATGTTCACTTTTTGATTGAATTTCAGTTCGATTTTCTTTTTCCAGAAGTATTTTTGTGTGTGTACTACTTGAAATATGATCTAATGCAAAGTCCTAAGTCGCACTCAGGACAGAAATAATGAGTTCCTTTTGGATTCTCTTTCCTTTTTTATTTCTTTATGATAAAGAGCAAACTGCACATTGCTTTGCAGGTCTAAGTTTCTTATCTGTGGAGGTAATAATTTCCATAAAGTATTTTTCTGTCAATCTTAGAGAATTAGTCTTAGAACCTGGTCGGCTGCATTTGAAATTTATTCCAGAATGCTATTTCTCAATAATGCTGTCAACAAAATCAGGTCTGAACTCTACTTTTGTGTTGCTTTCAACTTTCTTATTGTAGATAGCATATCAGTTTCATATAGTGATATAGAAAATACGTAAAAAACTCTTTGTAATATTTTCCCCTTTTTTAATAGTTTCAAGATTTTTGAAATTTTAATCCATACAATCTACTTTATTACTACTGTATTACTGTTATTATAATCCATTATGGGTTTGGGCTTTTAATTTGTTGCTGAGCAGACTTGAATTTGTTCCATTTGAGGATAGAATTTGAGTATTATAAGTTTGTCTGCTGATTCTGGTGAAGAATAATAATTGTCTGTACTAAGACAGTAACATTTATGAAGCAATGCATCCATCATTGTGAGGACAACTTGTGATGAAATTCAAAGGTCGGAATATTTACGCTTCAGAATTGTATCTTCTTCTGTGCAATTTGTAGTCAACCACATATAACTGGGTACAGTACAAAGGCTGTAATCTGGACGTCCATTATCCGGAATGATCTATAATCCAGACCTCAAAACCACAAACTTTACGCATGCGTGCGTTGAAAGAAATGTTTAATAAACAAATAAATATTAAGCTCTTTTTTTTGTAAAATTTGATACCTTTTAGATCATAATTGCTCTTTATTTCATAAATTACGGTTTCATATTTTTAATTGTATAATTTTTGCATGCCACCTTACCAGATTTAAATTGATGATCTATAATCGGGAAAAACCCCTAATCCGGAATCACCGAAGTCCCGACGAGTCCGTAAGTAAGACGTCCCGACGAGTCCGTCAAGTAAGACTTTGTACTGTATTAACTTGCACAGCATAAAACATTTCATTCCAAATTTAGCTTTTTTTATGAAAGTAAATTGCTTCCATCCTAATTGTCCCTTGAATAGCAAAAGGCTCTAATCCTGTTGTAACATTTCACTTTGACATCACTGTTGTTTTTCTAAATTTCTCATTTAAATGTTTGGTAACTGGCTATACTTTTACCAGTTTGTGATTTTGTGGATCAAATGCTGAATTATCAGAGAAATATTAGTAATGCTGCAATAAAAGTAATTGACAATGAGACATTATTTTAGTGACAAAAGGTGTAGAAGTAGAATGCCTCTTGCTTCAGGATTAAACAATTCCAGGTTTCTTTATAACTTCTTAAAGTATATTTAGAGCAAAAAAATAAATGTATCTCTTCCAAATTTGTTTCTTTTCAAAATTTACTTGTGACACTCAATTCAGTATACTGTTTAGCGTGCTTATTTGTGTCACCAATTTTATCCATGAGAAATGCATCAGTGCATGTTTCATAAAATTGTAAAACATCCAAAATATCATCAGCTTGCATGTGTAAAGAGGGAATACCAGTAAAATTAAACTTAGAGAATGAAAATGGAGGACATTTCATATCAGTTTCAAACAGAACTCGAATCTTCATCAGAACTGAGCTCAATACGCGAATCGCGTGAATAAGCCAGGCAACTGAAAGGCATCTTTGAATCTATCAGATTTCAGTTTATCCTCTAATAACAAAGTATTTTAATCGCATTCTTTCATAGTTCACTTAAGAAAAATGCTCAAGTAAGATACGTTTGATTCGAAAGCCTTGTATACAACAGAATAAAAGTTTCATGAGGTCGAAAAATTTCAGTTCAATAAAGAAAAAAAAAAAAAAAGAAAAAGAAAAAAGAAAACTTTTTAGTAACATAGGCAAGTTGTGCTATCTATTGAAAATATTCAAACTAAATAGTTTATTTATGTAAATATTAAAAATACAGTATAAAGTCTTTAATCCGGACCTCAAAGCTACAAACTTTCTGCGCTTGTGTAAACGCATAATGCGTTTACGCATGCGCAGATATTAGTGCACGGGTAGCTATTAGGTGCATAATATAGCAAGATACTAGGCACATGTGTAAACGCATTATGTGTTTATGCATGCGCCTAATATCTTAACACATGCACGTTAAATGTATAACGGACGGTATAAGCTAGGCTAAAATTATCTAATTATCTCAGTTAATTTTGCAGATTGCGTTGAGCCTTAATCTTCTAATTGGATCTGGCTTATTATTTTTTGCAGACTGTTAGAGCAATTTTGTAAAAAGTAAGCTTGAATCGATTATGTCAAAAAGAGTTTCCGATTCTGGAGCTGCCAAAGGATCTACAAAGCGAAAGCATGTTTCGGATTAAAGACTTTATTTTATTTATAAACTTTTATGTTTCGATGTCCATCAAACAAAAGGTGGAATTGCTGCAAAAAATGGATAAAGGCACGAAAAAAGTGACAGAGAGGTTAGTGAAAATGAAAAAATTTTGATTGACAAGTTAGTTGGTATTCTCGGCACAGCAATTACAGGAATTGAACAGTGGAACTTTGTAACTGAACAAGAAATGATGTCTGTTTCCAGAATTAAAGAGAAAGTATTAGCACATAAAACAAAGCAACTTAAACAACTTACATTGAAAGAAATGTTTAATAAAGTAAGCAAATAAATATTAAGCCTTTTTTTTTGTACATTTTGATACCCTTTAGATCATAATTGATCTTTATTTCATAAATTATGGTTTCATATTTTTAATTTTATAATTTCTGCATGCCATCTTACCAGATTTAAATTGATGATCTATAATCCGGAAAAACCGCTAATCTGGAATCGCCGAAGTCCCAATGAGTCCGGATTAAAGATTTTGTACTGTATACACTATATAATAATATGCATCTTCTGACTATATTCTGTTAAAATTTTCCATAGGGTGGAATAGAACGAATGCAGGCACAACCTGCACCTTCACCATGGGCAACTTTTCCAGGTAATAAAATTCTAGATTTTTATTTCATTAGAGTATATTAGAAGCAACATATTTACTACTTTATTTTATTATAATTGTTGTTTAACATTTCAGTACTGCATTTTAGGCCTTTATAATGACATAAATAAAAAAAAGGTGTCCGAACTGCAAAGTCTTATTTGATTTGTACGAGTCATCTGCAAAATTATTCTGATATTTTGTATATATATTTTCTTCTATAAGCAGATTCTCTTTTGCTGACATACGTTCTGTTCAAATGTTGCCAAATAAAAAAAAGAATTATATTACAAGTTTTATAATTATGAATATTAAATTCATTTGGGAAAAAATGAGGTACAGTAGAATTCTGATAATATGCATACTTCAGGAACAAGATCATTGGATTAGTGAATTTGTGGATTGCTAGTTGAAGTTTATAGTTTTGTATATATTTTCCCTTTTCTATTTTTTTTTTTCTTTGAAATCTGGAATAGTGTGTGCATGAATAATTAACTGAAACACTCTCATACCATGAGAATTATTTAATCAAGATTTATTAAATAAAAAAAACTATTATATTATTTAAATGTAACTGTCCCCTATAACAAACTCCAGTAGCCCTTTAAAAGTTGGAGTATATAAGGTATTTCTCCCATTCTTCTTAGCATGCCTTCGTGGTGTGGTGCTCTGCACGCTTTGCACATATTCTAGAGGTCCGTGGTTCGATTCCCAACAAAGGGGTTGCTCATTTTTCATCTTTTCTGCTTCCAAAAAATCCTAATGCTTCTACATGCTTTAAAGGTAGAAATAATACTGTGATCTAATGGTTGGAGTAACGAAGTAGTGTTAGGTGGTAGGAACAGTATTTTGATGTTAGGATGTTTTAAATCTTGTGGTTGACATGGAGCATTATCTAATAGCAATAGCGCCTTCAAACTGAAATGTTTCTGCGTTAAATAACGTTCAATGTCTGGCATGAAACAATTTAAAAACCATTCTTTAAATAAATTTGCAGTTACCCAAGCAGTGAAGGAGGGCAGAATTTCTTTGACAGATATGTGGGTCAGAGCCTTTTTTTTAGGGGGGGGCCCTACAAATCTGCCTATATTTCAGCCACTGTCTTCAAAGTGGACTATGTTGGTGCATTGCTCAATATGGAAAAACTTCATGCGGAGTTCATTTAATTCCTTGGGTAATTTTCTTATCGTGTAAGAGCAAAATCGTGTTATAAGATGCCGTGTTGTAGGAGGGCTACTTGTACAAGGATTTTGATTTATGGTCATTTTGGTATTTAGCACATTCTTGTGAACAGATATAAATAATATATTGTGTATATTGAAGAGGGGATGATTATTCTGTCAGAAATTGAGCTCTAAGAGAGGTTATACGTATAAAGAATATATTTTTCAAATAAATATATGTTAAAAAAAGTTGAAGATGTTTTTGGCTTTAGAATTTTTTTATCTAGAAAACATTAAATCTGAGAAGGCTGTTGTGTTGCAAATAAAGTACATAATTTTTGAAATATCAAGATATTCAAAATTGCAGGATATTTCATTTTATTAGTTCATAGAGAATAACTAGAAACATAATATTACCAGTCAATCTAAAAGATTTCTAGCAGGTATAGGAAATGAAAGTATTTAAAAATTTCTTTTTTTATCTGCAGATTTACTACCTGTTCAAACAAGCCCAGCTACCCCTGCAGATGATGGACAAGCTTCTTGCTCCAGGATATCAAATGCACCTTCGCGAGAAGTTTGGCAGCCAGCTGCTCCTGTTTTGCCATGGCCAGGACCTAGCACTAGTCGAGAAGATCCACGACCTATGCCTCAGCAAATGCGTACTCTTAATCCACCAGATGTTTCTCTGGGCACAAATCAAGCAGTTGGTGGACGTGTAACACCAGATAATGTCCATGGTTTGTATTCTCAAAATTAACTTTGGATGTAATTTTCTGTTAATACTTGTATTACATAATAAATAAATCATAATTTATATAAAATGGAACTTTTAAAATGATAATGTGAAATATCTCATAGCTTATTTTAAGGAAGAAGTGTTACAAATAAAAGCAATTTTTTTTTTTAAGAAAAAGTGATTGTTGGTATGTGCTATGAAAGTTTATTTTGGGGGCAGGAGTAAGAATAGGCAGTACTGATTTTCGTCTAAGAAAATTCAGTCGATCATGTGATTACTTTATAAATGTTATCTACATAAAAAATTTGTTTCCGTCCTTAAATTCAATTATTATTTGTAATATTTCTTTCTAAAATATTTTATTTGTGAAATAGTTTGCATTTTCAATTTAAAAGGTTCACTCTAACGCTTACATTAAATTTGAAAGGACATTTTTAATAGTTTGTGTTCGTATTAATGAATTATTGAAATTCATTTATACTAATAACTGATTTGAAGTAAAATTATTAAAAAAGAGAATTTAATTTATACGTAAAGTTATCAATCTAGTATACTTTTAACCCTCCAAATGGCGAGGGGTTTGACCCGGAAGCCCTGGAGTTCCCCAAAAGACCAAGTGTAAAACTTCTTTTCTAAATTATAATTCCAAAATGACTTTTCCAATTTGTTCCTTGACTCCTTTGCTTGTAATAATATATATATTATCTTAATTAGCTAGATACATTTCAAGATGCATATGTATGCACTTGAAGGTATCATAAATATTTTTGAATGTATATACATATACAAGGTCAGGCTGTTTGGAAGGTTAAAGCAGCTTTGAAAATATTAGATCATTCAGTGGAACATTAGGAAAGCTGCATTAAAAGTTGCATATGTGAAGGATATTGATTTACGTGTTAGAAGATACTTCTGTTGAGTATCTGATTACTGTATTATGTAAATTTCCAATTAACAATAAAACAGTTTACATAATAAAGAAGCTTTGAAAATATTAGATCATTCAGTGGAACATTTGAAAGCTGCATTAAAAGTTACATGTGTGAAGGATATTGATTTGTATGTTAGAAGTTACTTTTATTGAGTATCTGATTAGTGTATTATGTAAATTTCAAAACAGTTTACACAATAAAGTTGCAGATATTTTTGCTTTAGCAGCTGCACTTTTTTTCTGATGCAAGATATTTTTTAAATAGATTTCCAGCTTTGCTTTGCTTACTTTCCGAAGATATTTATCTGTTGCAACAGATAAATTACAATTTTGCAATTTACAATTAAGAAACTTGGATAAAAGTTGGAATATAATAGGAAAACTGAAAAGTGCTGATGGAATCTTATAGTATAGTAAACGGTTTTAAATAATATTGACCATCTTGATAATTTTCCATTAGAATGTAAAGTCTTATTTTCAATATTTATATTAAAACAAGGACTAAATTTAGATTCAGTATGATTGATGAAACATTGTTAAAACTTTTTGTTAGCAAAAACAGGCCTACATAGCAATCGCTATGAGCAAAATTGTGATGGCTTTTTCTTAAGGCAAAATCTTCTACTATTGTTGGAAATTGACTAAATTATTATTATTCTATAAAATATTCCAAATATTAAAATGGGCGTTCCATGCGTAACATGTATACAAACCAATTTCCCTTAGAAAGTCCTCCACGAAAGCATTCCTTTAGGGAAATAGCCCTAGTGTGCTTTGCGATAATGAACTAACAAAACCAAGTATTAAACTTTTTTCAATATGTGAATTTTTGGTATTGATTGCATTTAAAATACTTGTTATTTAAAAAAAGTTTTGTTCATTTTTACTGTTTAAAAAGGTTTTTTGTTGCTAAAAAAATTTAATTTTTAAATATTTTAGCAGGTTGGCACATCTCTGTATATATATATATATGTGATATTTTAGATATTCTAGACAAGATGAAACCAATCACTTTTTTAGTCATGGCTAAGAAAACTGCTGCGTAGATGTGATTGGGGAGAAAATCACAACTAGCTTGATTGTTAAAACTTCATTACCATTTTGAACAAGAAGAGTTCTTCAGAAATACATTTTTGCTTAAATTGATACAACAGTAAGGATACTAAATGCATCACATAATTTCTGTATATGCAGTTTACATTTTAGATATTAGGAAAAGAAGCTTATCAAAGAGACATGACTTTTCTTGGCGGAGCAAGCTGCAAAACAGTGAGGTGCAGTAACTAAATTTAACTAACTGCATTTATATTTATAAGCTTGAAAGGTCTTTGTGTGAATCCCGATCAGCATTTGAACAAAAGTGTTTTGTAGTGCAGAGAAATTGCAGGAAAGAGTAATATAACATGCTGCAGAATGGTGCAAAGTGTGTCTTCGAAAAGGGGATGTGTTTAAAAATTGTGAATTTAAAGATCTATTGTCGATTGGTTTAAATTAATTTTAATAATTTTGTTTCATATTTTATATTTGACATAATATTTATATTTGACATAAACTTTAGGGGTGATAGAAGGCAGCTATACAAGCAATATTCATCTTTGAATGTATGATTGTAACACAAATGGCAAGCTGCTAGGTGGCTTTGTGAATAAATAGTATAAAAGAGGTCAGTGCTCACACCCAGTGGCATTTTCTACAGTAGACTGCTGGTTATGCGAAGCACGAAATTTCCAGGGCAATGGATTGGTCAAGGTAGTCTCATAGCTTGGCCACTATGATCACCGTGTCTCGTATGAAAAGCCTAATCTACAAGTACCCCACTGAAACCAATAATATGGATCTAGCTGCCAAGATCACTGTTGTTGCCGGCGATATTCAGAAATGCCTGTTGTCTTCGTAAATGTGTTTCAATCCCTATCCTGCAGGTGTGAAGGCTGCATTACTGCTGACAGAAGGTCTTTTGAGCAATTTCTATGAGCATGTTTTGTTAATAAAATGTTTTCTGGAGTATCTCCTCTCATTCTTATGTTAAATCTTTAAATGTGACAGTAAAAAACTACCCTTTAACTTCTCATCGCTTGTATTCTGACCATGCATTCTATAACTAATATTGCTCGTATAGCTACCTCCTATCGACGCCTAAAGTTTTTCCCACTTGTTCAGATTAACCCTGCATATGTATGTGTATATATATGTATATATGTATGCATACAAGCATACATTCAGTTAGTTTTATATCTTTCCTATGTAGAATTGTTATACTAGAGTGTTGAGAGTTTCTGTATTCACAAGCTAATATGTCCCAGTTATTACAGGTTATTAAAATATTAAATTTGCTATGTATAAATTCATTTTCCCCAAAATTTTCATTTAAACACTGACTTATACTGAACTCATTGACTTATACTGAAACATTTTGAAGCCAAAGTTTTAGTTTTTCTCTGATGGTTCTTAGATTTTTTTTAAAAGCTGGTACACCTTCACCTAGGGATGAAAGGACTGTTTTTCTGTCACCTTTTACTTCTGCAATGGAAACAAAGTATTCTGAGTCCGAGTCAAATTAAGGTTCTTTCTGATTATCTGCATCCTTTGAAAAGTATTCAAAAGGCAACACACTATACTGCTAAAATAGGGAGCATAATAAAAAACTGTTGTACTAACATAGACAACCTTTGCAAAAATGTATATATCTGGCAGCCCAGCTGTGCACATAGCAACAGACAAGCACAAATATCTACCTTCAAATTTGAGGGTCATTACTGTTTATTTTTGTTGCATTGAGTACATTTGTTTTTTTACAAGGAATCGTAATGGGACTGGGGAGTTTGCCGGGTTGCCCAACAGTACATAAAAAAAAAATTCATATTCCATGAAGTTGTACTTTTTAAATGATCAAAATTTATGTAAGATTCCAAATTTTCACAAATCTCCGATTTGTTTGGTTGAGCGTCAACAGAATGCTGTATATTTTGGGAGAACAACAGTATGTGCAGTGTCATATTTGTGCATTTCCCTGACTTTTTAAAAATGAAAATAGAACACACGAAGAGAACAATAGCACAAAAAATTTTATAAGGATTTCTTCAAAACAATGTTTTTTGCCTTTTTGAGTTTTATTGGTTCATTGCTCTTTTATTGAATTCTTATTGTGCTGCTATTTTCAAAAGTGCTCTTGGCTTTCGCTTATTAGCTTAAAAATTAATTGCCAGTGAGTTGCTGACATTTTGAATTAGGCTGCAGATAATCAGAAAGTACCCTAATAAATATATTAAATATAGTAGAATTGCCATTCTTTTTTGTCGCAGAAATTCCAGTTTTGGTAGCTGTGTACAAGGGTACATGATCATGATACAAATATTATTCCTAAGATCGGATTTTTTTGTCTCATTTTAGAACATTTTTCAGAACCTGCTTAGTGGAGTGTATATATTGCAATTGCATTCTGTGGATTGAGCTGTAGGCCACTTTAAGAACTAGAGATGCATTTATTGTTACCTCAGAGCTTTATCCTTTTTGTATTTCCATTGGTAATAGTTCATTAATGAAGGTCATAATCATTGATTATTGCTTCATGAATGGTTCACATACCATATATTAATTCTTTGAGTATTTTTATGTTTGCCTTAAGACCACTGAATGCTGGTAATTAGATCTACATTCAGTCCCCACCGTCAGGTCTTAGATTGGATGCTTAGATGTAAATATGAGCCACTTTCCCGCTAGTTATCCTTCTCCTTAAGTATATAGCCCTTGTACACATTGCTGTAATCAAATAAATGATCATAACTGGTTTGTATCTACATTTTATCATCCGTAGCATTGTCTGAAACACTTTTGTTACCCTTCTTTTAAATTTTTTTTTAGTCATAGTCCATATGACTCTCCTTCACCAGTCCATATGACTCTCCATTCATTAGTGAGAAGATATGGTACTTTTTTCCTTTTCTAAGCTATGGATATGAAATCAGTGGTTTGAAAGCCTGGATTTATCAGTAATTTAATATCATGTATTTTTTTCTATTTTTGAATATTATTAATTTTTAAAAAAGTGTTCAACTTAAAATTTTGTGTATGCATATTCCTGTCCATTTTTTATCTTACAATTTACTGGATTCTGCCCCCCCCTTAAAAGACTATCAGGGTTTGTTGACATTGGTGTGTATCAATTAGTATTGATTTAATCCTCTCCCCACATTTAGATGCTGCTCTTGCGGTTGTAATGGACCACATGGATGGTGGAATGGTTGATCCCAGATTACCTCTTGCGCAAGCAGATATGTTAAATATACAACTAGAAAATGCAGAAAATGAGAGAGCTCAGCTAGAAGAACAAGTTGATGGACTAAGACAAAGAAATATTGAACTAGAGCAGCAAGTTAATAGCTTTCATGCTCAAGTTAATGAGCTGAATACTAGACTACAAAGAAATCAGGTATTTTCTCTCCTCTCCCAGACTTTAAAATTACAGTTAAGCTTGCATTTTTTTATTTAAGCTTTTATTATTGAAAACTGTATTTACATTATATACTTTACAAAGTCCAAGATCTGAGAACATCAGGACTTTGTTGATTTCAGATGTGGGATTTTTCCAGATATTAGATCAACTGTTTAAATCTAATAAGATGACATGTAGAAATTATAAAACAAAAAGTATGAAATGGTGGTTTATGAAATAATGAAGCATTTATGACCATAAAGGAATTTTTAAAAAAGTGTTTGCTTCCTTTATTAAACATTTCTTTCAATGTAAATTGTTTAAAGTTGCTTCAGTTCTTGTGCTAATACTTTCTGTATAATTTTACAGATAGACAAAATTTTTTGTTCAGTTAAGTTTCATTCTTTAAGTTTTTGTAATTGTCATATCAAGAATTCCCACTAAATTGTCTTTCAAAATGTTTTCATTCTGAACAACCTCTCTTCATTATAGATAGTGATAGTTTCTAGATTTAGAACCATACTATAGATTTTGCCATTCAATAGTTGATGATGACTGAGGTATTGTCATTGCAATAAAAAACTACTGTTATATCATTTTCATATATTAGTTAGTTCTTCATATTTATTCACAATTTTCACTAATTGGAAAATTTTGTTTTTTGTTTGCAACATCTGAAAAAACCTTCAAATTTGTGGCTCTTATTATAAAGCTTAGATTACATGTACTACAGTACAAAGGCCGTAATCCGGACTCATCGGAACTGCAGCATTTCCGGATTAGGGTTTTTTCCGGATTATAGATCATCAATTTAAATCTGGTAAGATGGCATGCAGAAATTATACAATTAAAAATATGAAACCGTAATTTATGAAATAAAGAGCAATTATGATGTAATATTTATTTGTTTACTTTATTAAACTTTTCTTTCAATATAAGTTCTTTAAGTTGCTTCAGTTTTTCTGCTAATACTTTCTCTTTAATTCTCTCTTCTATAAACAGACATAATTTCTTGTTCAGTTACAAAGTTCCACTGTTCAAATCCTGTAATTACTGTGTGGAGAATACCGACTAATTTGTCAATCGAAATTTTTTCGTTTTAAATAACCTCTCTATCACTTTCTTCACTATTGGAAGTACGCATGTGTAAACGCTTTACTGGCTTTATGCGCATGCATATGTTTGTGGCTTTGAGGTCCGGATTATAGATCATTCCGGATAATGGACGTCTGGATTATGGACTTTGTACTGTATACACTACTGGCAATGTATTCTGAGATTTGTATCTAAAGACAAAAGTTGTTCCACTAAATTTTGTCTTGCTTCTATCACATGCTGATGAAGTTAAACCTGAATTATATTGGATTAGTTATTCATTATACTCCTGTACTAACTTAAGGCTTATCTGAGTCCTGAGTAAATAAATTCTCATATATACTTATCTAGGACCATTTTGCAGCCTGGTGCAATCTCAGCATGTCTTAAATTCTAAAACTTTTGTGTCCTGGTGCCTTCATTAAATTCTAAATATTTTGTTATCCCTTAATTTTGTTGCTCTGTGCTTCTTTAAATTCTGAAAATTTTGCCTTCCCTAAATTCTGCTGCCTGGGACAGCTGCACCAGCTCTGGTGCCAATCCTGGGCTTATGTAAATAAGAAATCAGTTATTTTTAGTTCAAGCAGAACTAAATGTAATCTTTTTGTCTATGAGTACGATTTACAATTGCTGAAAGGAATTTCTGTTAAATTTCTTCTTGTCAACACTCTTCAGTCATGGTTTATTATGAAAAAATATCAAATGTGCATGTGTAAAACATACTAAAAATTCCTTAAGAAAAGCTGTTGGTGGCCTGGAAATCCAGATTTTTATTACAGGTTTTGGACTTGGTTTTTGTATTGGACTGTTTTTGCATATTAGCAATACAAAGCATAATGATGTTTCTTTAAAATATGAAACTGAAACCATTCTGATAATTCATTATTATAATAATTACATGTCATATTTTTCTGAAATCTGCTAATTAATCTTATTTTATCTGTATTAACCTTTTTAAAATTAATCATGCCATGCAAGATTTTAAGTAGTTGGCAAAAAAAAAAAAAAAAAAAAAAAAAAAAAAAAAAAAAAATTCTCATTTGATAATTCATAATTTAAAGCTTATTTTCATAATATATAATCATAATTTTAATGGAAAGCAATAAATATTTATAATGAATATCCTATTCATCTTTACATTGTGAATTTGGTGTTTCTAGTGCCATGTTATTCAGTTAAACACATGCACAAAAAAGAATTAAAATACAAAATTTAAATAATGATTAAAAAAATAAATGTTTTCACATGTATCTTTGTGCATCACTTTAAAGATAAATTTATGAATGCTAAAACCATATTTTATAGTATCCATTAATGCGTAATTTTTAAAATTTAGACAAGTATATTTGTAGTAAGCTTATTTATTAATTTTAAATGTACTTTTTATAACAGCATCAATTAATATTTTTAGACTAATTGGAGCATAAGGATTTTAACTTAATTTTTGAGTCCCTGTGCTCTACTGCTTTTCTAGGTATTTAACTACTCTATTGGGTTTTCTTCTTTGTCTCTCACTCTTCTCCTCTTGTTCTTTTCTCACTCTTTCAGTCTGCCATTGGCTTAATCAGGGTTTCCAAGTTATGTCACTCTTCAATGTTCCTTGGTTGGCATTCACTCTTATCTATCTTTTCTCAGCCAGTCAGACAAGGAGCATTTAAATTAAAGAAGTTCTTGGCAACCATTTAGCTTTTATTTTATCTGTCTCTTGTATCTGAATACATCTATTATATGTTTCTACCTATGATTTGATATGGAAACTGTATATCATTAAAAAAAAGTCTTCTCTGCTTTATATGAAAATAATTTAACTTATCATGGATATTTAAACTTCTGTTAAGGATCTTAAAGATCCCATTACCATTAATATTATATAGGTGTTGTTTAAAAAGGTACTGAAGGTATACCCTTTTGCATGGACAAAGTAGCACATTGTTTTTTAAGTCTTTATTTTTACTTACAGAATACATTTGAAGCAAAATTGTTTGAAATGAGGTATTATACATAGGTTTGGTTTATTTGGACAAGTTTAACACAGAGATTTGATTGCTGTTACAAGTTTTAACACAAATGCAAAAAGAAAAGGATTCTTGGTGGAAAGGAAAATTCTTGGTGAATCAAAGCTGAGCAGTGCACAGTACTTTAGATATATACATGGAGTGATTATGTTAATAAATTTTCTTGGATCCTTAGTAACATTTATAGCTTTTAGGTGTGTAATATATAACAAATATTCCCTATTCATATAAAGCTAATATAAATTAAAAATTTAATTAAGAAATTTTAACTACAAAAATAAAAAATTCTGCTTTTGAACAATTCAAAATTTACCCAGATAGTTAACACTTAATAGAACTAATATGAATCAAGATAATATTGAATACCTAGATCTGCTCATAATTAAACACAACAAAATTAAATTATATGATAAAAGGAGGATATTTCAGTTTGAAACTATCAAACTAATTAATTGGAACTCTAATATCTCTAAAAAAGTAATAGGTAACTCTTTTTATAGCCAAATAATTATAATTAAAAATATATGTACTGAAATAGAATATTTAAAGGAAGAAATAATAAAACTAAATAATGTTCAAGTTAATAACCAGGTCCCAGCATAATTTACCTTAAATGGACGGTAATGGAGGATTTTGAGGAGTTAAAGTAGTGTTTCCCAACCTTTTTTGTGCTATGCCCCACCTAATCCTCTCTAAAATTCTTAAGTTCTCCCTAGCATATACATAATTTTTAATATTTAAAAATTGAAATGTTCACAAAAAGAAACTTGAATGATAGCTTTTAGGAAGAAATGACTATGAAATTTTCTGAGCAAACACGGTAAGTGAACTTTCAAAACATGGAGAACTGAAACTCAAGAACAAACTCATTTTAGTAAAAGTTTTTTTTTTTTTAAATATTATTTTAAGTATTACAGTCAAATACCGAAAATCCGCCAACTCCTGAAATCTGCGTTACCTCTCAGAATATAAACATTCAGTTTATAGGTTCCAGAAACCGCAACATTGAGGACAAAATATCAAAGAAAAAAATACGTTCTTAATATTGAGTCAAAACGGAAATACAGTCAAAAGTCGTTAATTCGGACACCCATAATCCGGAATGATCTATAATCCGGACCTCAAAGCTACAAACTTTCTGCGCATGCGTCGCGTTCACGCATGCGCTCAGGCGTTTACGAGAGCGCGTAAGACCCTTACAGCTGCGAATATGTTTGTGTGCATGCGCGTTTAATGTGTAACGGAGTTATACTCTAAGCTAAAGTTATCTAATTCAGTTAATGTTGCAGATTGCGTTGTTCCTTAATCTTCGAATTGGATCCGGCTTATTATTTTTTGCAGACTGTTAGAGCAATTTTATAAAAGTAAGCTTGATCAAGCTGATAATAACTTGATGAAATTTATTTTACCAAAAGAAGCACTTCATAGTTCTGGAACTTTCCACAAAAATAGTCACAAATTTCCACTAAAAATCGACAGCTCTTCATATTATCACAGAGTAGAATCAGTAATTACACTTCAAACTACTAACAACATTAAACACAATCAATGCAAAGTGCATATAAAAGCAAAGCTCTCATGAGTGTCTCAGTACTCCAAATTCAGCTGTCAGTTAACAACTATTGAAATGAGATGCTCTCTCTCTGGTCTTGTATTATTTACACATGGCCAAGAAATTTATAGTAAATTCTATTTCTCAAAATTACTGAAAGGCATGTATCGTTAAAGTTACATCTAAGAGCCGGATACGGTTACAGTTGCATATATAGATTAATTACAGTTATTCAATTATAATACCCATTGCAATTACAGTCAAAAGTCAATTCGGACACCCATAATTTGGAATGATCTATAATCCGGACCTCAAAGCTACAAACTTTCTGCGCA